TCCTTCAGCTCCTCAAAGTTGGCCGCCTCGACTCTGGCCTCCAGGGTATGCACATGTTTTTGGAGAGCCAGATTCTTTCCACTGAGCGCATCCTCTGTCATGCTTCTGACTCTTGATGCAAACCACTAGAGAGCTATTCTCCTTTTTTAGACTTTTGCTGATACCCTTTGACCGCTGTTAATTGCAGTTTCCTGGATGGAACTCTAGCGTTTGGTTTATTTTTATTTTTATTGGCAAGGATGCAATCATTTTATAATTACTATTTAGTCAGACACTTCCCTTGGTTTTTCACCCCAATTGTGTGTACTCCGGGACCTCCTAACATAGGTGGAGTGAAGGAAGGAAGGGCTTTTGCTTTCATACCCATTGCATCACTTTCCCAGACTTGCTGGGGAGGTTTCTAAAGGGCTAAGGAAAGGTGAATGTGATTTCCACTTCAAAACTGGGAGTAATTATTTCACTGAAGACCTAGGCTGACATAAGAGTTGGAGCGGTTTGCATTTTCAAGGTAAAAAATGGGCAGTGATTCTGGATGTCCTGGGCTGCCCCAAACAACGAGACACCCCCCCCCCCACACACACACTTGACCTCACTGAAGGAAATCAGAGGAATACATTTGGCACCAGCTTGGCTGCAGGAGTTGCCAGAAGGAGGCTCCACTCCATATTTGTGTAGGATTTACTCCTTAGCCTTTTCTTCTCCTGAAGATACCGCACAAGGCAGCAGAGGTTTAGGACCCGAGTTTTCCTTCCCCTAGATGGGTCCCTTTCTGTCCCTCCCTTCCCTCTACAGAAACCGCCTTCTTGACCATTGGACCCTATATTATTTCTCAGTTGCTCAATCCACCAGAACCTGTCTTCACACACAGGGGTTTGAGACCCATCAGCTACCCTCACCTGGTTAAGCTGGCCAGTCAGAATTGTTTCCTGGCGTGTTGCTGCTGTCACATGCTGACAGCTTCTGAGAGTTACAGGTGAGAGCTGAGTGCAGGGTGAGGACCAGAGGTAGACCCCAGAAGGAGCATGACGTTTCCCCCGCCAGAGGTACTATCCCTCCTCTAACAGTCTACTTTGAAAGATAAAGCCTTCTGTTGTTGCCATTGTCAAGCATTTAGTTGTCAAACTCTTCCTGATCTACTGCAATTTATCCAGCAGTTCTAATATCGTAGCACTTTGCTTATGTTCTTCTTAGGAGCTTACGTTCTTCTTGGGATCTGATGTTCTATGATACAGGAAACAAACTCCTGGACTGAGGATGTGCTCACACCAGCACCCCATTCCTTAATTATAACTGTGTGTCCATCCACCCCGAGCTATTATTTTGCACCTGGCTCTGGTTGGTGGGGCTTGAAGTTCTAGTAAAAATCCAAAACAGATCTTGCAAGTCTGAAGATGGTCCACCCATGGCCAAGTAGGAACACACAGCCTGACTTTGCTGGATTGGCAGACACGCTGAAGAGGGAACAAGGGCCCCTCTTTGTGTGTAACCGTTTCCCTGTGTCACTTTCCCTCTCCCCCTAACTTGAAGCTCATTTTTCATATTTAAGGAGGGCATTACATTGGGAGGAACTACTCCCTGTAGGTTTGGAATTTCATTTTGAGCAGTTGCCTCATGAGAGTAGCAGCAGTTCAATAGGATAATGGTATCCGCTATGAACCAGCGCTAATGGCCTAACCCTGTGGGAGCCAGAAGAATTCTCCCCCAGAGAGCCAGCATGCAAATTCCCTTCCAGGCGGCTACTGCTCAGACCTTTGGTGATTAGTCATGCTGGGGCTCAAGGCTGCATATGTTGGGAGGGGTGGGATTGTGTGTGTTTGTGCTACAGCTGAGGCCTGGGAGAGTTTGGTCTGCGCAGAGAAAGTGCTATCTCCTCTCCCATCACATCAATGTGCTCGGCCTTTCTAGGTCTTAAAACACCTCCCCCCCCTTTTTATGGAGAGGAAGACAGTATTTCCAGGAGTTAAGGAAATGAAGAGATAGTTCAGAATAAATAGGCTTTCTAATTATGCCTTACTCTTCATTGGCCAGGATGGAAAAGTAGCTTAAGTTACATTAGATATAGAAAGAGCAGAATTGGTATGGCTTATACATTGTTTTGAAAGCGCCCTAATCACAAAACTTTATTTTTCATACTGCATTTAACCAGTAAGGGGTTGCAGAGTGTTGTAATTGAGCCAATAATTAAATGTGCATGATCTTAGATTGTCAACTGGCAGGTTTACATTCTTGTTTTAACCTGAAATATATGCTGTTCATGCAAGGCAAAATAAGGGGGTACTCAACCTCACATTAAGAGATCTGAAAGGGAAAACCCAAAGCTTGATGGTTTAATCCAAGTGTGCCCTTGCAGTTGTGTCCTAGGAGTTGTGTGATATGTGAAACATTGCTGTTTGGATCTGTGAAGCATTCAATTGTTTCATCATGAGCATAGTTTGCTGGTCCAACCCATGAAAGCAGTCATTTGAATGGTACCTAATTGCTGTTGAGGAAGGATTGGTCTGTGGATTTAGAAAGCACATAAAATGGGCCTTCTGGAATTATACCAATTCAGAATGCAAATTGGGGGCCCATGTTTGAATGTTCCATCATGTTAAAAAACAAACTAATAACACTGACCATACCTCCCCATATGACCTGTGAGGTGGTTATGAGAAAACAAGGCCTGCCACATGGAGCTGTTTGACATCAGACAAAGCCGTGATGCCAAATTTGTAAGGAAGTATTGGGAATGTACCAGTGCATTTCTCCTCCTTCTTTTGTAGCTCTGGCTTGCAAAAACCTTATTTTCAGCTTCTGTTCCAGAGCTCAGAGGTGAGTTTGGGGTCAGCCAACATAATCCCATTTTACCTATTCACCTGGAGCATTTTAGAAAAGAGGACTTTTAAAGCCACCCATTGGAGGAGCACGCGACTAATTTTGAAGTTCATCTTCCAATAACAGTCTGGTTATATGTTGTGGTAACTTTTGCATCCCTTTCTCCCTTGGCTAGGAACAGTTTTTCCTTCCTTTCATTTATTTGAGCTACGAGTCTTCAAGGCTGACAAGGCTGGGAACATGGACTTTGCTTTCCCATGTTAAACTTGCAGCCGTTGCCTTAGATAAAGTCAGGTAAATGGGGAAATGGAAAAGGACAATCTGTACTGTGAGGTTAACTGATGTTTACACTGGACAGTGGCAGGCAATTCCAGTTGATGCGGAGCTTGAAGCAAGCAACACTGACCATCCAGTTCCTAGACTGCAAGGGGACTTCTCTTTCCTCCTGCTCCTTGTGTGTGTTACTGCTGCATTCATTCCCCTGCCATTCTCTTGTGTTGGTGGAAGGGAAGAAGCCCAGGTGATGACAGCTGGGAGATAGTATCAGCAGACCAGGCAGGGATGAAAGGGTTTCATAATCTCCATCTTCTCTTTGCTCTGTTCCATTCTTCCTTTCTTTTTTTAAAAATAGTTGGAAGTAACATTGTTCCTTTGGAGAACACACCTGTCAGGAGCAAAGTCCCGGTGCTACTCCCTTCCAGTCATAGTTGGCAGCCCTTGAAAGCACAGCCCTCCCAAAGGCTGAGAGTTTCTTTCAACCCTGAGGGGGGAGGCAGGGCTGTGATTGATTTATGCTGTCCTTTTGAATTCCGGCCTTTTACGGATGGCAGCTTCACCTTTCTAAGGGATTATTCTTCTTGCTTGCTTGGGGATGTGAGGCTGCCAGTACTGAATAACCGCTGAGAATTGTGGACGCATTCTCACTGCGCGCGTCTTGGGATGTAGTTGGGGCCTCTCCAAATGAACAACTAATAGAGCAACAAGTGTGCCCTTGTGGCTCATTTGTCGTCTGGCATCTGCACGCATTCTCTTGCTTAGTTAAAAGGAGGAGGGGAGAGAAATAGGTTTCCCCTTTTTGCCAGGAATGTAGGAAGCTTCCTTATACTGAGCCCAGACCATTAGCCTGTCTACACTGAGGGACAGTGGCTCTCCAGGATTTCAGGCTGGGTCCTCTTCCCAGCCCCACCCAGAGATGCCCTACTCAGGGATCCATCGTGGGACATTCTGCATGCAAAGCAGATGTTCTACCAACTAAGCTACAGCTCTTGGCATAGTGATTCCTGTTCTACATTGCTTTTCCCCGCTTTTGCCCCCCTTTTTCTAAGCCGCTAAGCCGCTAATAGCCTTTTAGCAGCTAAGCCGCTAAGCCTTTAATAGCCGCTAAACCGCTAATAGCGCTAATCCGCTTAGCCGCTAATGGGGTTGCTTCGCAAGACGAAAAAACCGCTAGACGAAGAGAATAGCGGAACGGATTCTTTTCGTCTTGCGAGGCACCACTGTATGGTTCAGCAGCATTTGGGATGCGGCCATCTCAGAGCGACTAACCAGGCTAAGAAGGGGAGCAGAAGGTGTGCAACAAAAAGAGATACCCTTGTTGAACTACACGCCTGTTTTATAGTTTTGTTTTTCATCTTTTCATTTTCACCAGTTGCTATATCTGTTCGCTCTGTTTTATATACATTATAAAAAATGAAATAAAAAATATCGACCAAAAAAAGAATCCTGGTCTTCCTTCTTTTCATATGCAAGGGATGAACATAACAATTCTCTCCCACCAACTACTCAAATTTGTCTGTGGAGAGCGATATTAACCACTATTGCCTTAAGAATATGCTTGAAATGACATTACATAATCAATGTAATGTTTTATTTTTGGTGGAGATTGTATTACATAACTAGACTTATACCCAGTTTTCCTTGTAACCATTTTTATTATTTTGAAAAAGAAAAAAATTAATGAAAGAAAAAGAGAAAAAAGCTTGGATAAAGAGAGCCCTGCCCAGACAGAAGTATCCTGGGTTCATTACTGTTACTAACTTTGTTTTAGTAAGTTGGTCATGTGTAATTTCTCTTTTATTGTTCCTGGTTCTCTTTGCACAAAAGAACAAAAAAACCAAACCCATGTATTGGTGAAACCTTTTGGGTGCGCTTAATCAGTTCCCTCTCTTCTCCTCCTTCCATTCTAGTGCTGCCCACTTGCTCCCCCTTGGACTTTCACTGCGACAACGGCAAGTGCATCCGTCGCTCATGGGTCTGCGATGGAGACAATGACTGCGAAGATGACTCTGATGAGCAAGACTGCCGTAAGTTCTCTCATCACCGGTCCTCAGAAACAGGGCAGAGCCACTACTGCTGTTCCACCCTACCTGGTAGGAAGCTAGCATAGCGGCTCCAGAGTCGTGACTCACCTGCCTGGGAAGCTGGCGTCGTGGCTCCACCCCCACCTAGCAATCTGCTTCTGCAGGTCTCGTGTTCAGAATCGTTTTCCGAGAGCACAAAGAGCATAGCTGGCGTATCTCAAGCATAGCTGGCTCTTTGCAAGAGTAAGACAGGTCACTAAAAACCACCATTGTTATTATTAGCAGCAGTTGTAATCACTGTGGTGTAGTTTGCAGTCCCAGCCAGCCAGGCTGGGCATTGAGTGGCCTCCTCTGGTAGGTGGGATGCGCTGCCTCAAGCCCTTGGGGATGGTGTCCTCATGCTGCTGTTCGCTTGATGCTGAGCTCCCGTAATAAGGAAGTGCCCCATAAATGCTGGGCAGCACACAAACACTTTCCCGGCTAAGCGAACCTGCGTGTGTTTCTGACTTTGCTCGCCGTTTGTGCTTCCTGTGTCCTTTACAGCTCCACGGGAGTGCAAGGAGGATGAGTTTTCATGCCAGAACGGATACTGCATACGCAGCCTGTGGCACTGTGACGGTGACAATGACTGCGGAGACAACAGCGATGAACAATGTGGTTAGTAGCCAAATCCCACAGAGATTGCTAGAGAAGGGCTTGCGTGGACTTTTGTTTGGGCTAAGATTTCTGCATTTCGGAACCTTTGCAGGAAGACTGCTGGCGGTGGGGATTTAGTGTAGCAGATAGGGCTGGTTGGTCACTGCTTCCAAGTCAGTGGGTGAGATCGAAACAAAAAATGCTCATAAAGTATTTGCACAGAGGGAGAAGGCTGGGAATTACTCTCCAACCAGACCGTTATTGTATATGATATGAGGTTATATTTATATAACCTGCAAATCCCACCTTTCCTCCAAGGAGCTCAAGGTGGCATACGTGGTTCTTCCCCCCCCCCCCCCAATTTTATTCTCATAACCTCGTGAGGTACATCTGGCTGAGAGACAGTGGCCTGCCCAAGGTCACCCAGTGAGCTTTAGGGTGAACCCTAGTCTCCCAGTTCCTAGTCCAAAGCTTCCAACCATTACACCACACTGGCTACCTCAGAGGAAATTAAGATTACACATTTGATTATTCTGGGCTGAGCAACGGGAACTATGCTGCATTCCTTTGTTGCTAGAGGCTGCTCCTGGAAGGTTGGGCCTCTCCCAGACAAAACCCCATTGTGGTGTTATCACCAGCCTTGTGTGAACCTTCTTGTATTTCTTCAGAATTCCTGAAGATCCATTCAAAAATTAACCCATTGCCTAGTACAGTGGTACAGTGGTGCCTCACAAGACGAAATTAATTCGTTCCACGAATTTTGTCGTCTTGCGATTTTTTTCGTCTTGCGAAGCACGGTGTCGGGAAAGTTTTGGAAAAGCTTCAGAAATCACCAAAGTCTTTAAAAACCTCAAAAAAGGCTACCACACCGCGTTCTATGAGTTGCTCCTCGAAGTCAAGTCGCAACTGTATTAACGGTGTTAAGAAAAAGGAAACAAACTTGCAAGACGTTTCCGTCTTGCGAAGCAAGTCCATAGGGAAAATCGTCTTGCGAAGCAGCTCAAAAAACAAAAAACCCTTTTGTCTAGTGAGTTTTTTGTCTTGTGAGGCATTCATCTTGCGAGGTACCACTGTACCTCGGGTTACAGATGTTTCAGGTTACAGACTCTGCTAACCCAGAAATAGTACCTCGGGTTAAGAACTTTGCTTCAGGATGAGAACAGGCGGCGGCAGCAGGAGGCCCCATTAGCTAAAGTGGTACCTCAGGTTAAGAATGGGCCTCCAGAACGAATTAAGTTCTTAACCTGAGGTACCACTGTATTAAAAAGGAAAGAGCACATAAGCAGTGAGCACATTTGTGGGCTAGCAGATGATGAGGTGGGCACCTTCTCATGTTGACAGGTGGGTCGCCTGATCAGAGTCTGGTTCCTAGGAGGGTGGGATGGGATGGGGGAATGGCCTTTCCATTGAACTACTCCTTGTCCTGCCTTGCAGATATGAGGAAGTGTTCGGACAAGGAGTTCCGCTGCAGCGATGGCAGCTGCATTGCTGAACACTGGTTCTGTGATGGGGATACAGACTGCAAGGATGGATCAGATGAAGAGAACTGCCGTAAGTATTCTCTCCCCCCCAAGCCGTACTTTCCACTCTGATGTCACATGATATCTTTTGTAATGAATGCTAGGCATACGTCAGTTTTCTCTTGAAATAAGGACCTATTGTGACTCCGAAGCCTTGCAGTGGTGTAATAGAGCATATAGATTAGCAGTGCAAATCTGTGCAGGCATTTTGCCAAATTCATACTCCTGAGCCCAAAGCTCTGCTTAAAATTACATCACCCCTCCTCCCTTTGATAACAGCATGCATCTCTTAAGCTTTGAAATGATAATGGGCTGCAGCTAGAACAGCTGTAACCTTCTGCAGCACCTTTCTTCTCTTTCTGTCTGAAAAGAGCAACGCGTTCTCCCACACTGATGTTTTTAGAGAGACTCGTAATAAATGCAAATGGTGAAAAGTCACTTTGCAGTTGAAAATCCATATTCATTATTCAAGAAATACCTGTGAGCAAGGACGAACTTTAAAGGGTCGGATATGCTGCTCAAAGAGAAAGCAATAAGATTTTTAGTTGCAACGTCACCATTTCCGTTCATATTCTTCCTTGAGTGTTACTCTGGAGACACTTAGGTGAAGGGGAGAGTTGTGTTGGACTTGCCCTTTTCTTCAATGGAAGGGCATGTTAAACATCCCCACCCCCCACCCCCACCCCCCATTATGCAGGTTGGTTATCATTAATAACATTTCTTCCAAGGAGCTCAAGTTGGCTTACGTGGTTCTCCCCCTCCCCATTTTATCCCCACAACAGTTGGAGTCTTCTTCTTTGGAGGTCTTTAAGCAGAGGCTTGACAACCATATGTCAGGAGTGCTCTGATGGTGTTTCCTGCTTGGCAGGGGGTTGGACTCGATGGCCCTTGTGGCCTATTCCAACTCTATGATTCTATAACAATCCTGTGAGGTAGGTTAGGTTATGAGACAGGGACGGGCCCTGGGTCACTCAGTGAACTTCATGGCTGACACTGGATTTGAAACCTGGGCTCCCAGTTCCCAACACTGACCTGCTGCCCCTGTAGAAGCGGGGGGGGGGGGGGCGGGATAAACACTCTGCAAATTTAACATCTGCAGCACTAAGTACCACCCTTCTCTTACTGTGTGTGTAAAAGTTCTCGTGTTTCTATTTGTGAGACTAAGATGGCTGCAACCCCTGAGCAGCCTGTATTTACGAGCTATTGTTCTCTGTTTAGGAAAATTCGCTATTTTGCTACCATTAAGAAATAGTGCGCTTTTTTCTTTAAGTTGTCTTTGTTTTCTTGCCAAAAGCACCATGGTTTTCATTTGTATATCTTGGTATCTCTGGCAACTTGAGGTTTTCCCCTATTGTTCTGAGCATTGGGTGACCACACTTGAGCAAAGAAAGTGGGAAAGCGCTCAACTTTTTGGGGGGCGTGGTAAAGAGGATAGGCCTTAAAATTTGTGGCCAAAAGATTCTGAGGAAAGCTACTCTCAATGAATTCCTTCCCAGGACTTTACCCCTGGCTGCAGCCTATGGAATCATCCCTGCCATAGTCTCCCTTTGCTTGGTCCTTAAATTTTATCACCAGTGAGTTAAAAGATTTTTGGAGTTAGCTGCTGGGAGTATTGGGGGAGCTGCCTGTAGCCTATTGTGGGGTTGCCTGTCATTTAGCGCTTTTTATCAGGTTTCTGTTTCCCCCCTTACCTCTGTGTCTGAGCAGTAGCAATGGCAGAACTCTCTCTCTCTCTCTCTCTCTCTTCCTCCTCCTCCACTTCTGTCTCAAGGGCATTTTGCAGAATTTGTTCTAGATAGGAGGAAACTTCAAAAGGTCTGGGGGGGGGTGGGGGTGGGGAAGACGACCGGGGCTGCCAGCTCCTGAAGGGCAAGGGTGGGGAACGGTGTTGTGTGGGGTTGTCTTTTATCTCCCCAGATAATAAGAGCTGGCCAGCAGCCAAAGCTGCAAAGACTTCTGAGCCAGGAAAAAGGCTCTGAGAGAGAAAGCCAACCTCTCTCTTTCTCTCCTGTTCATTGGCTGGGCCTTCCCTCGCTGGTTATTAATAAACATCCATGCCTCAGGGATGGGAGAGGAACGAAACTCAAACGTTGCCATGTTTAGCGGCAGGGTAAAAGAGGGATTAGGAAAGGTATCTTCTTAGGCCTGGGTACTTCTTAAAAATCTGCCTTAATAGCTTTTTAAAAAAACACACCCAAGGTGAGTAGTGTTTCCTCCTTTTAGAAAGGTGTAGCCTTGCTACATCATTTGTGCTTCTCTGCCCCCAAGTTCCCCATCCCTCTTGGTTAGTATTTGCAATGGAAAAAGATACATGGCCAGAACGGTTGACCCCAAGCATCGTCTGGACCAGAGGTGATGAGCATGCATTGAGCTTTTAGGCTCTACCCTTTTCCCTACAACCAGAGCCATGTGCAAAACATTGGCTTAGTGGGGAGGGAGGACGCAAGCACTTCAAATTGTGGAAGCAGCATGTGTGTGACCCCAGAATTTGTTTGTAGTACCAGAACAAAGTTGAATTGTTAAATGCAAAAATAAAAAATTACTCTTTGATTTTCATTCATACCAGGGTTTCATTCTTTCAGCAGTCTAATTTAGAGAGGAATGAGTTTCCTACCCACTCACGCTGCTATTGGTAAATTGGTCAGGAGTCAGATTTACTGATCTTCTGTGGATCACCGGAAGATGTACCACCCTTGGTCTGGATTCCAGTGTGCTAGGCTCTTGGTGGCCCTTCATTTGCCTTACCTAATCTAATGCTGGTGTGTGTGTGTGTGTGTGTGTGTGTGTGTGTGAACACTTGTGCATCCCCTGCTGTGGCTGTTCTGCTCAGGCTTCCTCCCAGAGTATCTTTTTCTTTTTGTGTTCCGTGGTTCTGGTTTCTTCCCTCTTTGAATCTTACAGTCCTGACAGCGGTGCCTGGGCACATTGTCCCAGCACACACAGAATGTTCTTGTCCTGCCTAATTCTCCTTGGAGGGCTCTTTTCTGTGCCATAAAGAATTGCCGTGGAGAAGGGCTTCATTGTAAAACCTTTGTCATAGATTATGCTGGGTGCTGCACAGGGTCAGAGTTCTTGGGAAGAATTCTTACAATAAAAAAAAGGGGGAGAGAGAGAGAGATGTTTGTTCTGGCATCGTTTTGAGAGAAGCCGAATTCTTCAAAAGCCTGGCACCGCTCAGGATGTCTTCTGCTCAGCAGTGTTAGCAAGATTTGAACCCTCAAATGTGCCCTCTGCTTTTCAGCCTTAGCAACTTGGCTCACATCAGACCTTGGCACAGTCAGCTCTTAGGTGTATATGGGTGTGGTTCCAGGGACAGGGAAAATTATAGCTCTGTGATGGCCTGGAGCTATCTCAAAAGGTTAGCTTGCTTTTTAGGGGCCTTTAGAAAACAGCGGGCTCTGAGCACTTGATGAACACTTGGCATGCTTGCGGATCGCCATAAGTCAGTTCACATTATGGTTCCCACATGGATTTGCCCATGTGCTGAAATCTGCTGTTCTTAATATGTGTGATGTCACACACACACTTCTGCATCTGCTTGCCCAAATAAATCTATTTTTGGTAGCATTCATCAGGGTGTGGCACCACTGAACAGCAGCTTACAGGGTTACTTTTCAGGGACATGATATTCCTGCTGCACCTGAATGTCAGGAGGGGACTGCCTCTTCCACGACACCCAAATTTTCAGCATGCTCATTGTATGCACTATGTTGGCTTTAATGTGTGGGGCCACTAGGGGCAGTTACCATGCGGAAGGTGGCCTAGGTGAATTAGGCAAATGCCCTTATGTGGGACCTGATAAGATACAACATCTCTGCTGCTGGGCATGACCACTGCAAATATCAGAAATATGCCCTGTTTTTCATTTTTCTGGTATGTAGTATTGGGATAACAGTAGGGAAGTGCTGCAAAGGTTTCATTCTTGGTGGACACTTGCAAAGCAATGAACATTTCTTCCAGAAATAAAGATTTGATGCAGTGCAGGTAACACTCTTGACACTTTTCAGTGTAGTGGCAGGCTTGTATATGCGTGATGCCTTCCTCTCTTGTCTTTCTGTATTTGAGAAGGGCCACAGTTTAGTGCTAGGTCATCTGCTTTGCATACAGAAGGTCCCTGTTTCAATTCCTGACATCTTCAGGTAGTGCTGGGAAAGATTCCTGCCTGGAGTTCTGGCCTAGATGGACCAAGGTGTGACTTGATTTAAGGCCATTTTCTGTGTTCCTGTGTACCTTGTTGCTCACCGTGCCAAAAGCACAGGGTGGCTAGCCTTACATAAGTATTCTTCATCCTTTTTTTTAGCATCAGATATTCCAGCAACAACGTGTAGCCTGGAGGAGTTCCAGTGTGCATATGGGCGCTGTATCCTGGACATCTACCACTGTGATGGAGACGATGACTGTGGGGACTGGTCTGATGAATCCGACTGCTGTAAGTTACCTAGGGCGATGGCGTGCTGGGTGGGTTGCTGCATTGTATTTAAAAACAAAAATCAATTTCATTTCTGAGAAGACAAAACTGTGCTGCATTGAGAATCTGTAGCTTCTACGCTCAGAAGAAATAGTACAAATCCAAGAATACATTTGCTTCCAGTGATTCTGTTTGCAGAATTAACACTGGGATGGGAAGGCAAGAAAGGAAATGTCCTAGGGAACATGCAGCGGAGGTACCTGGGTGTGGCAATCACACAGGGTCCCCGGACATTTGTCGGTCTATTGATCCCTGTGCCACCACTGTGATTGCCTCTTCGCTGCCACCAACCCGTTTCTCATGGGTACACACGGAGTCTAGACAGTTGTTAACATTAACAAATAATCAAGTTTATTTTATAGGCATGAACAAACTTATGGTTTCAGTTAATTTTTCTTGGCAGTTTCTTAATCTTAGTTCCTTAACTGTCCTATTTGTTCCTAACAACTTCAAACTGATTATCCCAACTATATATCTATCTGACTCCACCTAACAGTTCCTCTCACTCTCTCACCACACAACTCGACCAACCCACAGACTTATATCCTCCCTCTTCCTTCTTCCACTCCCAACTCTCAACTGCTTTCCACACAACTCCCCCTTTAACCCTAACTCCTCCTATCAGTTTCCACTGGCCAATCACATCACACTCATTTTAACCCTTTCCTTATGACCCACCTAGGAGGCAAACGCCACACTGGGATTTACTCTAATTTGGGCTCAATAAAGAATGGATTGTAATGCACTGTCTTCTCTTTGCAGCCTCTCACCAGCCATGCCGCTCAGGCGAGTTCATGTGCAACAATGGTTTGTGCATTAATGCTGGATGGAGATGTGACGGTGACTTTGACTGTGACGATCAATCAGATGAGAAGAATTGCAGTGAGTGCCTTGGGGTTTGCAGAGGAGGTTTACTGTTGGGGCAGCAAGGGGGGGTGTCGCCCTGATGATATCAGACAGGGGCAACTTTCAGTTTTGGATAAGACACGCTGGCTTTGTTGTTTGGATTATATATTTGTATTTCTGTTGCTAGGTATTCATTGAATATTAGTATATATTCATTAATATGTTTGGCCTATTAATGCTTGCATGGCTATTTAAATTTAGGGATGTTTTGCAATTAGTGAATAATATTTAAACGTTGCTGTGCTTTATTATGTAAACTTTTCTGATATGTGCTTATTTGCCTTATGCCTGGCATGCTCTGGTCCATGGGGTCACGAAGAGTCGGACACGACTAAATGACTAAACAACAACAAATTATTATTATTATTATTATTATTATTATTATTATTATTATTATTATTATTATTCCGCCCTATATCCAGAGGTCTAAGGGCGGTTCACATAAGAAGATCACAGTATATAAAATAAAAATGAGACTTTATTTAAAGTTAGGGATGCTTTCCAATTAGTGAATTCTACTGAAAAGTTATCTAAACCATTTCTGATGGTGTGAGGCACTTTCGGGTAAAGTGACATACAAAAAAAACCATGATGATGAAGAACAGGTGGAATTCACTGAGTTCTCTCATTTTTATTTCCTCAGCTACGTCTATGTGCACAGCTGACCAGTTCCGCTGTAAATCCGGCCGCTGTGTCCGCCTGTCTTGGCGCTGCGATGGGGAGGATGATTGCACTGATTACAGCGATGAAGAAAACTGCGAGGATACAGGTGAAAACTGTGAAAGCAAACCGTTGTGTTGCAGAGTTTTGTGTGTTCCCCACCCCAATCAGCCTTCCTGTATTAGAATCAGTTCTTAAATATTATAATTTACAGAATTGGGAAGGGAGTTCCAGAATTTGGTTCCAACTACTGGATGAAGCAAACCAGTATGTCCCAATCCTTCATTTTAATACTTGTTTTTATTAAAGGGTTTTCATAGTTAACAATGAAATCCCGTTGAAAATAATGGATCTAAGTTAGTCATGCCCATTAACTTCAATGGATTTACTCTTTGTGGGACTAGCATTGAATACCACCCAATGTATATAGTATTACTTCAAGTTACAGTGAAAGTTGAGGATGATGAGCTAGATACAATAGGTCAATGTTCTGACTTGGTGTTAGGTTACTGAGGCTGTGGAATCTTCTAGAATGTGACTGCAAATGGAGATAAACTAGTATCCTTACTGTACATGAAAATTAGATTACCTTCTCTTAACTGCTTCTAACTTTCCTTATTGCCTCTTTAGGAAGTCCCCAGTGTGCCCCAGATCAATTTCTGTGCAGAAATGGACGCTGCATTGGTCAAAGAAAGCTGTGCAATGGTGTAAATGACTGTGGAGACGGCAGCGATGAGAGCCCTGACCAAAACTGCCGTAAGTCAGGGCTGCCGTACGTCCAGAGTTTCCCAGACATTTCACATCACATTAGACCAAACTGTGGTTTAGTGTGGACAAGAAACATGCTTCCACGCACTGCAGGAAACACAGGTGCTTTGTTCCTCCTCTGCTCCTGCTGCAGTGCCCTGAGACAGGTCACGGTCTGGCTTCTGGTGTAATCTGAACCTGTGCCCATGGTTTGTTTCCTGTAAACAGACCTTAAGCAGTAAGCCAAGAGCAAACCTTGGCTTCCACTCATGGTTTGTTTGGAGAGAAACAAACCATAAGCCCTGGGTTCAGACAACACGCCAGAGAGTGGATTGTTTCCAGCAGGAGTGGAGAAGTAAAATGCGAGCAGCATGCATCAATATACTGACGATTTACATTAAGCCATAGGTTTGTTTTTTTTAAAGCTGTGGTTTAATGTGATGTGTTAACCTGGCCTTTGTAGGGCTTCTGCAGCGTTTTAGAAAAAATAAGCAGCTGCCTGGTGAGTTTTCAACTTAATGTGCTTCTTCTGCAGGTCTTCGAACTGGAGAAGAAAACTGCAACCTCAACAATGGGGGCTGCGCCCAGAAGTGCCAGATGACTCGAGGGACTGTGCAGTGTACCTGCCACACAGGTTACAGGCTCCTGGAGGATGGGAGGTCATGTCAAGGTCAGCAGCCTCATGCCTTGGGCCATCTCTTGGTAAAATCATGCATGTCTACAATATGAGTGGATGTGGAATTTAGATTCCTGCTCTGGCCTCTACCCCAGTGTTGCCAGGACCGGGGTTTAAACAAGTGTAGGGCCAACGACGTACCGTATTTTTTGCACCATAACACTCACTTTTTTCCTTCTAGAAAGTAAGGGGAAATGTCTGTGCGTGTTATGGAGCGAATGCCTACGGATGGCGGGGGGATCTGCTGCAGTCGTGAGCAGAGGATCCATGGTTCCCCTTCCTTCCCTCCTCCGTGGCTCGTTTTGAAACAACAAAGCGGGAGAAGAGCCGCTGAGTGGGGAGGAGAGAGGGACAGAGAGCCTGCTTGCTTTAAAGGAGCAAAGTGGGAGAGGAGAGGAGCCACTTACACGAGTCCGGACCTCAGCGAGCCGGGGAGGAGGGAGAGAACAGCTCGCTAAATAGCAGCAAAGTTTTTCGCAAGCAGGCTCTCTGTCCCTCTCTCCTCCCCACTCAGCTGGCTAAATAGCAGCAAAGTTTTTCAGCGAGCTGGGGAGGAGGGAGAGAAGCAGAGCCTTTAAAGGAGCAAAGCGGGAGAGGAGCCTTCTCCTCTTATACCCCTCTCCTGCATTATTAGCAGCATCCTTCTCCACCCACCCCACGCGTGTTCCTTGTCCCTTGAGTGCTTTTCCTTCCCTCCCCACTTAAAACGTGGTTACAAAGCATGGATCCACATGGATCCTCAGGTTTTTTGCACTGGGTCACCCCAAATTCACCATCAGATCACATAGCATGTCCATGGCTACAGCCTGCACCAAAAAAATCACGCACCCACTGTTGCCTGGGCCCGCAGTGGTGCAAAAAGGTGGTTACAAAGCATGGATCCACATGGATCCTCAGGATTTTTGCATTGGGCTACCCCAAACTCACCGTCAGATCACATGTCTGTGGCCACAGCATGAACCACAAAAATCATACACCCACTGTTTCGTTTAGAATATTTTTTTTCCTGTTTTCCTCCTCTAAAAATTATGTGCGTGTTATGGTTGGGTGCGTGTTATAGAGCGAAAAATACGGTAATTGCTCTGGGACTCATGTGCTGTTTGCCCACTGGGTATACTGAGCTGAAAGGCCTGTTGGTCTGGGCTCTTAAGTTCTTAGCTCCTCTTGCGACCTCTGTCATGTAGTGAGCTGAAAATTAACAAGTGTGGAATCCAGAGCATAAGGAAGAGCTTTCCAGTCCCTTTTGCACACCTGAATACTTTCTTCCTTTTCCCTGCTTCAGACGTGAATGAGTGTGCAGAGGAAGGCTATTGCAGCCAGGGATGCACCAACAACGAGGGCGGCTTCCAGTGCTGGTGTGAGCAAGGCTACGAACTTCGCCCCGACAAGCGCAGCTGTAAAGCCCTGGGTAAGAAGGGATTCTCCGCTCTGGTTGGACGGTCACTACCTAAAAAACACAACCGTGCCTGATGCAATGTTGTCGGCTTAGTTTGGAGCTTCAGCTTTTATTTGGAGTTCAATCCTGAGTTGCTGATTGCACCATTAGAATAAGACCCGTGCTCTTTCTTTATCTCCCCCCTGCCTCCATGCTCCTGTTGAAAACAGAAAATGGGTGTGTTTGGTGGCAGTGGTGGAGCTCTGTGGCTGTGCTTTGAGCATTTTAGCAGGCAGTTGCACATCAGGGTAAGAAGCAGCAGAGTGGGTGTTGGGAAGCCTGGAATGAAGAGCACGATTGGATTTTTAGTGAATGTTTGCTTGTCAAAGGCTTTGAGGTGGCTGAGCCAAGAGATTTGCAGTGCTCATGTGAGGCTTTTTTGCTAGGATTTAGATATGCTGATTCATCTGATTCCTGAGAAACCACATGGCAGCTGTGCCAGTCCCATCAGCGAGGGCTGCAGATTGTGACTTGAGCAAAACAGAGGAGTTACGGGAAGGGAGGGTTGACATGGGTGCTGTGGCCCATATGCAACCCCACCCCAATAGGAAAATTTTTCACAGATTCCCTTCCCCACATTTCAGATTGAGTTTATAAGGAAGGAGTTGAAATGGAAGGCGTCTGCTGATTCTGTATCGGCAGAGCATTCCAGAGGGCTGGGCCAATGACACTAAAGGCTCCGTTTCTTGTTATTGTCCAGTAAGCCTCGCCAACATGGGGAGCAACCACCGACTCTCCTGCCCACGTTCTCAGTGATCAAGCTGGGATAGAAGGGTTCAAGAGATCCCTGAGGTACCCTGGACCTAACTTGTTCCAGGGCTTCGAAAATTAATACAAGGACTTTGATGGGCAACCAGCACAGATGTTTTAGCAATGGCGTTGGCAGGGATCCCAATCGCCAGTCTGGCCACTACATTCGGCTGGAGCTTCTGAACCAGACCCAAGGGCAGCCCCACGTAGATTGCATTGCAGCAGTCCAGTCTTGAGGCCACTGACACATGTACTACAGTGGTCAGGCAACATCCTGATATTGGTACAGATGTTCTTGTTAACATATTTCTCTGTGTGTATTTCCCTGCATTGTCTTTATGACAGTGATGGCTTCCAGTCTTACCAGCCCCCCTCCCTTTGTCTGTCCATGTCCTTCAGGGCCGGAGCCTGTGTTGCTTTTTGCCAATCGGATTGATATCCGGCAGGTCTTACCCCACCGGTCAGAGTATACCTTGCTGCTGAACAACCTGGAGAATGCTATCGCCCTTGATTTCCACCATAGCAAGGAGTTAGTCTTCTGGTCTGACGTCACACTGGACCGCATCATGAGGGCTAATCTCAATGGCAGCAACGTGGAGGAAGTGGTGTCCACAGGGCTGGAGAGCCCAGGTGAGCGTCTTTGAGAATTTCAGAGTCACGGGGAATAGAAATATATTGACTCCATATATTGAAGCGGGGAATGATGAATCTCTAGGTCGATAAACTAGTGGTTTTGCTAGTGCTTTGATTTGGCAAGGCATGGCAAAGGAAGGACTCTGCTCCCCTTTTCCTTTGGAGGGGAAAAATTATGGTAGTTGCTTCATGGGATTCTCTTCATTGCACAGAATACACAAATCACCTTGACTTCCCTTCTGTTTTGTGTCCCAGGTGGATTGGCCATTGACTGGATCCACGACAAGCTCTACTGGACAGACTCTGGAACATCTCGCATTGAAGTGGCAAACTTGGACGGCACCCACCGGAAGGTGCTTCTCTGGGAGAACCTGGAGAAGCCTCGCGCAATTGCCCTTCACCCCATGGAGGGGTGAGTGAGGAGGGGTTGGTTTTCAGGATGGTGGTTCCCATGTTAATTTATTTGTCCAAACATACTGAACTGAAACTGGCCAAGCTGACCTGCAGACAAAACCAGCTGGAGGTTCCAGCTGGGGTGTGTGCGGTTCTTCTTTTTTTTGCTAATTTTCCTTTCACACCTGCACCCAACCCTCCAGCGTGGCTTTTCGGAGGGCTGCAGGGGAAAATGAAATTTGCAAAAATAAATAAATCCTCTCCCTTGTTCCAGCAGCAGGAGCATCAATTGAATAGAGTTCTGCTCATGAGAACTATTGTACTAGCAGTGAAGCTGTTGCCATTCTCCTAGGCCTCATGAGTGCTCCTGAACACCTGAATGCATAATATATTGTACCAATCATTTTGCCATTGATATGCCTGGTTGCTTTTCACCTAATCCACGAAGATCCCATATTTCCAGCGGTTACAACTTTTCTCTTCTCCAATAGCACCATCTACTGGACAGACTGGGGAAATACTCCTCGCATCGAGTACTCCAGCATGGATGGCTCCAATCGACTCATCATTGCTGACACTCATCTTTTCTGGCCAAACGGGCTAACTATTGACTATGCAGGGCATCGAATGTATTGGGTGGATGCCAAGCATCACGTTATTGAGAGGGCTGACTTGGATGGACAGAACAGGAAGGCTGTTATTAGCCAAGGTGAGGTTAATGGAATGCCCCTCCCTCACCAAATTTGATTGGCGGCATCGAGCCTGATGGGTTTTAGGTGCCTTTTAAAGTCATACCTTTTCAGTCTGGTGTTTGGATAAATTGTTTCAAAATAGAGTAGAAGCTTGCCCTTGCTGATTCTGATTTGCTGTTACGGATTTTGATGAGTTTTTCCAGTGGTTTTTATTGTTGAGTTTATTACTGTACTAGGATTTCTTCTTGTGACTTGCTCTGGGATTGAGTTCAATGGAGAGCAGGCAAAAAGTGGCTCTGATGAAATAATGAATAAGGACAGTGGGACTGTTGGCCACTGGACTTCCAGTGCTAAGAAACTACAGACACAGTGCACACCCTGCCTGTGTCTTGCACATTTAATTGTATGAGTCAGAGTTAGCAATGAGAGAGGCCGCTGCCCATCTCCTTCACTAGTCAAAGTGAAGTTTAAACTCTCGAGTCACATAGAATAGGAATGCACTGTATGCAGTTTGTTCACAGGTCTGATCTAAGCTATACTTATCTTCTTAAATCAGCAGTCATGTTTCTCCTTCGAGTGGGCTTCATCTGTGTCTCCCCAGCTCGTGACTTGGCCATTCTTACTCCTTTAATTGGAGACAGTTCTGAGTTAGGGGTAGAAGCACTCATTGGAAAGAGTGGCTTTGTTTTCTCTGGAGGCTAGAATAATCCAGGTGCCTTTACTGCCCTCTTGCTGCAGGCCTTCCACATCCGTTTGCCATCACGGTGTTTGAAGACAGCCTGTACTGGACAGATTGGCATACCAAGAGCATAAACAGTGCCAACAAGTTTACTGGCAAGAACCAGGAGATCATCCGCAACAAGCTCCACTTCCCTATGGACATCCACACATTGCATCCTCAGCGCCAACCAGCAGGTAACTTCAGAAGGAAAAGGGCTATGGTGACTAGCGCCTGCTATCCGGAGACTCTCTTGGGCCAGATTCAGCTAATCAGTCCTGCTAGGAGATGCCAGGACAAAGTCTTCTCCTAGTGTAACAGGGCTTTTTTTTGCTCTTTCTCTGCCGGGGGGAGTCCAGGGGAACTCCTAGATCAGAGTTTGGGGGCGGGGAGACAAGGCGAGATTGTTCCATCTGGCAAGCTGAAACGCTTGTGTTGACGGAATGGTCTTTTTAGTGGTGTGTTGAACTCCTCCCATTGTATTTGCACTGACGTGGTTAAAACATGGAGCTTGAAAAAAATAGCTACCCCCTGTCGTTAAGAAGCATTTATAGAGTATGTGTCCTGTTAGAATTCTGAGTGGGTTAGGTTTCATTAAATTAACCCCTATCAAAATAAATGTGGGGTGCTTTCAGACCTCTCAAACCATCCCTTTTTATTTTCCAGCTTATTTTCACCTAGAAAAAAGGGTAGGCTTTAAAGGTCCAGACCTTGACACTTGATTCTGAATGTTTGGGCAGAGCAACTTCAGGGATCATGGTCACATGAGCTATCTTTGAAGACCCAAAGCAGCTTTTCCAAAGCATGCCCTTTTGAAGCCCCGAATCTTTCCCAAACACCAACTAAAGCCTTTGCTTTCTCTACTAGTTTCCTTATATGTGGTTGTTTTTGGCTATTTGAGCAGGGAGAAACCGTTGCGGAGCCAACAATGGGGGCTGCACTCACCTGTGCCTGCCGAACAACACGTCGTATACCTGTTCTTGCCCCACAGGCTTTCGGAAGACCAGCAGCCACACCTGTGCTCAGAGTAAGTGTGATAAAGAAGAGCTTTTACACCTTGATAGGTGTCTGTGCACACGCACGCACATGCATGTGAAAATGAGAGAGAGAAAGAAAAAGAGAGAGGAGGAGGGTTGCAGGCAAAACAAACAGAAAAAGGCATGTTCTATACTATGGACGATCAGGGAAAGGATTGAAGGTAAAATGGCAGTATTGTAAAGTGTTTATGTAAATAAAATGGGTAGTATGTAAAGTGCTTATGTACATTGATGGCAGAGCTGCCTTTTAAATGTTGTGTTGGATTCTGGTTGAATCTATAAAAAATACTATAGAGCTGGAAAAGATGCAGGAGAGAACTTGCAAAATGATTGGTGTAATTGAGCCCTATATGAAAAGATGAATATGTTTGAAGGTTTTTCACTTAGGACAATAAAAGACAGCTTTGTGATTTTTTTTGTTAAATTGAAAAGTGGGTTACATCACAATAAAGAGATGGAGATGGAACACGACATGAGTTTGTAAAGTGGTGTGGAGAATGTGGATAGAGGGAATGCTTTCTCTCTTACGTCATACTAGACTTCAGGGTCACCTAATGGAATCAATCATGATTCGAGACAGACAAAAGACACAATGCACAATTCACTTATGAAATATACTATCACATGCCACTTGCATAGTTGTTTCTTAAACAGGGTTCAGACAAATTTTATACTGAACTTATACTGTTCTGTTTCCATGTGGAAAGGATTCACCTGTTTTATACTTTAAACAGATCTGTTTTATAATTGTATATTCTGTTGTTGCCTGCCCTGGGACCTTAAGGCAAAGGACAGAGAGGAAATCTTGTAAATAAATTAGTAAATAATTTATGGGGCATATGTTTATGAACAGCTCCTAGCACTGACACTTAACATGGGCCCTCTTGATTCAGAAGCAGTAGACTTCTGAATGCCAGTTACTAAGGCAAATTTGCTTTCTTGCCCTGCTCCCGGGCTTTCTAGAAGCATCAACTTGGTCACTGTGAGACACAGGATACTAGGCTTGACGGACCCCTGGGCTGATCCAGCAGGGCCCTCACGTCCTTATCTCTTATTTATATGGGAGACTGGTGAAAGGATGATTCTCCTCCTCCTTTTAGAAGGCCTGGCAGCCCGCTTTCATTTTGTGTCAGACTTGCTGCCCTTGGGGAGATGCTTTCCCAGCAGCACATCCTCCTCTGTCCCCGTCCCAAGAATCCTCTGCCAACGGCAGATGCGTACAGCATCCTACCCACTTGCTAGCTACGCATTGTCTGTCCTCCACTATATAGGATACACGTGTCATCGAAGTCCATGCAAAAGGGGCGTGGATGCAGCAGAGCTTAAGACGTAACGAGATAATTTTCTGTTGTCTGTTACCATGTTGTTGAACTTAGAGAAATTAAAAGAAGACCTTTCGACCTTTGATCAGGTCTTGACAAGTTCCTGCTTTTTGCCCGAAGGATGGACATCCGTCGTATCAGCTTCGACACAGAAGACCTATCTGATGCCGTCATCCCCTTGGCCGATGTGCGCAACGCAGTGGCCCTGGACTGGGATGCAAAGGATGATTACGTCTACTGGACGGACGTCGGCACTGATTCCATTAGTCGGGCAAAATGGGATGGAACAGGACAGGAGGTAATGTGCTTCTGGGGTGGTGAGGCACCGCACAGCATTGTTTTGGAAATTTAAGCCTTTTCAAAGATGAATATTTCGGTTTGATTGACTTCTCTGTATTGCTGGCTTGGCTGCACACCGGCATGCGCATGCCACCTTGCAAGTGCCTGTGGGCAGCTAATGCAATCAAACATTGAAATGAGGGCATCTGCGCCGTCCAATAAATGAGTGAAATGAAGATAGCTAGAATATGATCTAGACTGTCAGGAGATAATTAGAGTGTACCTTTCTCAAACAGCTGGGACAAATTAAATTTTAAGTCCCGCTAGCGCACATCAATTCTCTAATCAACTTTCGCATGTGTCCACAATTTATCATCGAAGCAGCCAGATGATAGCATGCTACGTCTTAGTTTGTTCTGCATCCATCTCTTTGACGTTGATATTCAGTTATCTGTGAACATCCATTCGTAGTTGAATGTGGCTAGTACAAGTTTCTGCTGCTGAGCAGGATCCAGCAGCAAGTTTGTTAAGGGTACCCTTCTCTCCTCCTAAGATTCCTTCTTGCTTTTGTTTCTTGCTAGGTTGTGGCAGATAGCAGCCTGGAAAGCCCTGCTGGTCTGGCTGTGGACTGGGTCACCAACAAGTTGTACTGGACAGATGCAGGTACTGACTGTCTAAAACCACCTTAGTCTCTGGAGCATTGCCTCCTAAATCCTAACTGGGCCATACCAAATAATGCATATTCGGAAGTATGAACAATATCCCCTCCCCCACAGACAAACTGGTTGGCATATTACATCCTTCTATGGACATGCAGTGCTATTCTACATGGATTGTTTTCAGACATCACAATAAATCTGTGGTTTATCATCCATGTCTCCCGCCCCCCTGGATTTGGTATCTTCCCGCTCCTGTCTCCTCCTCCAGCTTGGTTGTGAGGATAATAATGAAAGCTTCCTCTCCCAAATTCTATTACTTTAATGTGTCACATCTGAACTGTAAACTGTGGTTAATCTTAACTATGGTTTGTTGAAACGAATTGGATTAATAAACTGTGGTTTGAAGTTGGCTGTTTTGAAACAAGGTTCATCAGTTTTGTAAGGTTTGAACAGCACAGCTAGTTGTCGTTAATCAAAAATGGGCCAAACGCCTTGTGACTATGTTGGGAGGCGGGGGATAGCTCAGGGGTAGGCGAGACTCATTTTCTTCCCATTAAAAATTAAACCATGGTGTCCAAATGCAGCTTTGCTGCTTTCCTAGAAATTCAGGGAGTATGTAAAGGTAAAGGTAAAGGTACCCCTGCCCATACGGGCCAGTCTTGACAGATTCTGGGGTTGTGCGCTCATCTCACTCTATAGGCCGGGAGCCAGCGCTGTCCGCAGACACTTCCGGGTCACGTGGCCAGCGTGACGAAGCTGCTCTGGCGAGCCAGAGCTGCACACGGAAATGCCGTTTACCTTCCTGCTAGTAAGCGGTCCCTATTTATCTACTTAGGGACGCGGGTGGCGCTGTGGGTAAAAGCCTCAGCGCCTAGGGCTTGCCGATCGAAAGGTCGGCGGTTCGAATCCCCGCGGCGGGGTGCGCTCCCGTTGCTTGGTCCCAGCGCCTGCCAACCTAGCAGTTCGAAAGCACCTCCGGGTGCAAGTAGATAAATAGGGACCGCTTACTAGCGGGAAGGTAAACGGCGTTTCCGTGTGCGGCTCTGGCTCGCCAGAGCAGCAATGTCATGCTGGCCACGTGACCCGGAAGTGTCTGCGGACAGCGCTGGCCCCCGGCCTATAGAGTGAGATGGGCGCACAACCCTAGAGTCTGTCAAGACTGGCCCGTACGGGCAGGGGTACCTTTACCTTTACCTATTTATCTACTTGCACCCGGAGGTGCTTTCAAACTGCTAGGTTGGCAGGCGCTGGGACCGAGCAATGGGAGCGCACCCCGCCGCAGGGATTCAAACTGCCGACCATGCGATCGGCAAGTCCTAGATGCTGAGGTTTAACCCACAGCGCCACCCGCGTCCCGCCACCCATTTAATAATCCAAGAAAGTAAAGTTCTGAAATAGGAAATTTCCACAGGACGCTCTCAATAGCCGCACAAATGTCCTTGCATGACATTTCAAACATCTTGCCGTGCACCTTATTCCTATATGGATTTGTTTGTATAAACCACAGAATTAAAGCTTTTCCTCAAGCCGTTTCAGACTGTGGCTTGAGGGCTGCATGTTTGGATGCTTCCCCATAGGGGAGGCATGATTTATTTTCTCTGCATGTCGAAAATAAAGTATTCTCAGGTACAGAGATGATCCAGCTTCCATTTGTCCCTGACATGCTATTTTTCTATGCACAGAGGTCTCCACCCCTCCCTCTTCATGGTGTAGTGTTCAAAACATGCAGCCCGTCACCTGCGACCTGAAGTGGTACAGTCCAGGACATGATTTACATTTGGCTATGCTAATAGCACCTGGTCCTCTGTTTCACTGGTTTTAGTGGAAGTTGCTTCTGAAGTAAGCTTGCTTCAAAATGCAGCCTAGTTGACTGAGAGTTTGTACAGATGTGGAGTGGGATTCTAAAGCAAACTTCTCAGGTTCGCTAAGCAATTTAGCTTGCTGATAATTTCTGTTTGGGTGGTGGGAGTGAAGTGGAGACTGTACTTTTGTCTAGATGTTTCTCTTTAATGGTCTCCCCTATGACTCTGGAGGCTTATGGTCTTTCCATCCTCTTCCTCTAATCTATGCAGGAACAGACCGGATAGAGGTGTCTAACACAGATGGAACTATGCGGACTGTACTGATCTGGGAGAATCTAGACAGACCCAGGGATATCGTGGTGGACCCTGTTGGAGGGTGAGAAGCTGCTTTCGCAGGAGTCTGCATAGCAGGGTCTCCTTTGTGCTATTGTGTTTAGATTTTTCATGCCACTGCCCTGCGAGGTCCCTGTTGCAATTCCTGAAAGGGGGGGGGCTGGACACTGGTGTGGATGGCTCTGCTAAAACAGCAGGACTGGGAGCAATCAGACTGCCCTAGTCCAGCCACCCAAATGCAAGGATCCTCCTCCGTGTCCAACATCCTTAACTCCTCATGTGCAAACCAAGAACAGAAGGGGCCAAAGCATACCTGATCAGAATTGCCTGTAGGACAAGGTGTAATTTCAGTAAAAATATAAAAGAAACGAACAAAAGCCAAATAAACTCATTGGTCTTTAACTGGTCTTCCCTTATCTGACCTGGAGTTTGAAATGTTCTTTCTGGTGGCAAATAGGGACATACCTTTGTTCGCCAAGGTCCCACAGAAAGAAAAAGAAACCTGTTCCTAGCTTTTTAACATTGATAGCTCCGTCAGTAGACCATGATACTCTTAATGTCAGGGTTGTGGAGTTGAGCCCCATGTTGGGCAAAAGATTCCTGCATTGCAGGGGTTAGACTAGATCCCAACTCTATGACCTTCACTGTTTGGGAAGGGCTGTAGCTCATTGGCAGAACATCTGCCTTGCATTCCAAAGGTCCTGAGTACAATCCCTGGCATCTCCAGTTTGCGCTGGAAAAGTCCCCTGCCTGAAACCTTGTAGAGCCACTGTCTGTCAGTGTAGACAATAGTGAGGCTAGGTGGATCAGTAGCCTGTCTCTGCACAAGGCAGCTTCCTATACTCCTGAAGCTCTGTCTCTGGCTATGGCCATTTCATATCGCTTACTGTCACTACCTGGAAGGAGACATTGTGAGAAAGCAGTGCAAACTAGGTTTGCCTACAAAAACAGACTGAAGAGAAACTGTTGTCTTACTTTGCTGAAGTTCATGGAATGGTCTGATGGCACATGGAAGTTCTGAACTGCTGCTTCTTCTTCCATAGATTAGGAGTGAAAGTCCTGAAATTCTATTGCCTCATTTTTGCAGAAAAGAGAAGACCCACATGATAATGGGATCTCTTGGCAGCCTTTTTTATTTTTTATTACTCTTCCTTTGCATGGAGCCTTAGAGTAGGGTGTACAGATTCTGGTTTAGGAGAGTAGTCACTATGAAAGTTGAAAGCACTTGCCCGTTCGTTTGTGGAGCTCATTGGCAGGGGGAAATAATTCTGCCACTAAAGGAACAGAAGTCATGTGCAGTTTTGTGTGTGTGTGTGTGTGTGTGCAGATTCATGTACTGGACTGACTGGGGGCTAACCCGAAGATTGAGCGTGCGGGCATGGACGCCTCTGACCGCTTGGTGATCATCTCTTCCAACCTGACCTGGCCCAATGGACTAGCCATTGATTATGAATCTCATCGTCTGTACTGGGCAGATGCTGGCATGAAGACAATTGAGTACGCTGGCCTGGATGGCAGCAACAGGAAGGTAAGAAAGCCAAGGTGAATCGGAGGCTTCTGGGAAAGGAGTTGTAAATAGGAATTGCTTGGGGATTAATAATAATACTAATAATTTTTTATTTATACTCCACCCATCTGGCTGGGTTTCCCCAGCCACTCTGGGCGGCTTCCAACCGAATATTAAAAACAATAGAGCATCAAACATTAAAAACTTCCCTAAACAGGGCTTCCTTCAGTTGTCTTTTAAAAGTAATATAGTTGCTTATTGCCTTGACATCTGCTGGGAGGGCGTTCCACAGAGCAGGCGCCACTACCGAGAAGGCCCTCTGCCTGGTTCCCTGTAACCTCACTTCTCGCAGCGAGGGAACCACCAGAAGGCCCTCGGCACTGGACCTCAGGTATACAGGACCGAGGCCGTTTAGGGCTTTAAAGGTCAGCACCAACACTTAATTGTGCTTGGAAACGTACTGGGATGTGTGTTTGCCAATTGGTCCAATGCAACTTGCTTCTGGTCTCCAAAAGGTCTCGGCTGCTTAGATCATTAGCCCGAGGGTAGGGACCGTCTTGTTATTGACCTCAAAAATAAAAAATAAAATAATGCTTTGAATTAATGTCTGTCTGAACCTGCAAATCAATCTACTCCTGAGTGAAGAATGCATACTGCAAAAAGTACAAGGAGAGAGATGGGTGCATTGCTGGTGCTACCTGGGGCCCAGGGGCCAGATATGCCCTCCAGGTCTCTCTGCCTGGTCCTCAGATCTCTTCTCATGCCATAACCCTCCCTGGTCCTATTTTACACCCCACGTGCTTTTACCTGGCTGGAATGTGTCCTTCAACTCTGATGATGCCTGGATGGAGGATAGAGAGGGTAAAATGCAGGCTACTGTACAAAGGCAAAATTTGTTGCACAGCCCCTTTTTGCCTCTGGCAAATAAAACCAATTGCACGTGGCCCCTGGGAGGTTGCCCAGAAGGATATGTGGCTCTTTGGACTCAAATAGTCCCTGTTGCCATGCCGGCCGTGTGTTGTTACTAAAACTTCTTGCGGGTCTTTGTTTTGGGGACTGACAGGTGCTGATTGGAAGCAACCTGCCTCACCCCTTTGGGCTTACTCTTTATGGAGCTCGGCTCTACTGGACCGACTGGCAGGCAAAGAGCATCCAGAGTGCTGACAAAAGGACGGGGCAGAATCGTGAAACTCTGCAGGACAACCTGGAAAACCTCATGGACATCCACGTCTTCCATCGGCACAGGCCTACAGGTACATGGGAGGGGCACAGGCCTTCAGGTACATGACCCTACAGCTAGAGAGCCTCTGCGGGATGACTGCCTATTCCTGCATTGCAGGGGTTTGGACTATAGACGATCCGCAGGGTTCCTTCCAACTCTACAATTCTGTGATTCTAAGCACCCTGCACCCCAACAGAAATTTAACTCAAAAGTACATGCGAATGAATCCTTTGTGACTTATTTTCATGGAAAGCGCTCCTCTGTGCCGTTTACGTTCCCATGCATGCTTGTAGAATTTTGAAGCATGCTGTTGCTGTTGTCACCATCATTTTTTATTTGTATACCATCTTTCTATCTTACAATACTCAAGGCAGTTTACAAGCTGAAAAACAAAAAATGTACATCTTGTAACAATCTAATGTAATACAGAAATGTGATAATAAAACATAACTTTAAAATAGGCAACCTACATCAAAAAAGTAACATTCAACTATCATTAGAATAGTATAAAATAATAATATCAAAATATAAAAGTTAAACAGAAATCCACTCAACAGTTATAATAAATAATATCTAAACTATAATCAATAAAACAACGGTAAGCTGCAGTACAGTGGTACCTCTGGATGCAAACGGGATCCATTCCGGAGCCCTGTTCGGATCCAGAAGCGAATGCAACCCGCGTCTGTGTGGGTCGCGACTCGCCACTTCTGTGCATGCACATGACATCATTTTGACTGCGCATGTGTGAGTGGCAAAACCCGGAAGTAATGCACTCCATTACTTCCAGGTCACTGCAGCGCGCAACCCGAAAATGCTTATCCCAAAGCTACTTCAACCAAAGGTATGACTGTACATAAAACAATACAATACACATTGAGAAGCAGAGACTAGAGGGTAGAGCAAGGCAGGTGGAAGGAGGCCTTGCCTGATGGAGTCTCTCCCCTCACAGTTCTTCCTTCAGGAACAGCTCCCTTATGAGGACTCCTAGGGCCGGAGGGTGGGGCAAGGCAGGTGGAAAGAGGCTCTTCCTGACATATTCCGCATTGGGATTCTCTTCTTCCTTTCTTTTACAATTTTTTTATTGGTTTTTACAGTTTACATTTTTATTTAGATGGGTGTGGTATAAATAATAAAATTATTATATTACTATCATAATCATACATATAAAGGATTCCCTGAATCCTTGGACTTCACCCCTCCATGGGTTCCATCAACATTCCTTTTTTCAACTGCATCTTAGAAGATTCTCCATTTTCTTAATAATAATAAAAAGACCCTGTTTTCCCATTGTTCTTGTCACATTACAAGTATTGTTACAATCTGGCCAAAGTTTTTAGTTGCTTACAGTGTTCTCCAAGATAAATTATAATTTCCCCTCATTCCTTAGTAAAATTTCTATCTTCTTGATTTCTGATCTTCCCAGTCATTTCCGCCATTTCAGCGTAATCCATCATCTTTATCAGCCCTTCCTCTCTGGTCAGGACTTTGTCTTCCTTCCATCTCCGGGCCAAAAGTTTCCATGCTGCCATCATCGTGTACATGAATAGTCTTTTCTGCTCCTTTGGTACTTCTGCATCTAAAATTCCTTTTTAAAAAAAGCTTCAATTTTTTTCACAAAAGTTATTTTAAACATTTCCCCCCCAACTCTTTATATATCATTTCCCAGAATGCTTTGGGCTTCTCTGTCTGGCCTTGTCATGATGCATTGTTTTCTTCTCCTTTTTCCCCAGTACATACAGCATGCACAGTTAATAATGGTGGATGCAGTCACCTTTGCCTCCTGGCTCCTCTCCCTAAAGGTTACAGCTGTACTTGTCCCACCGGTATCAACCTACAGCCAGATGGCAAGACTTGCTTACCAGGTAGGTCTCCTCACATTCTGCAGCATCTGGGTCTCTAATCCCCACAGCCTGCTCTTGACAGGCCTCTAGGTACAAAGCCCTACAACAGGGATAACCAGTGTTGTTGCACCCCATCTCCCATCATCCCTGACCAGTAGCTGTGCTGGCTGGGGCTAGCAGGAGTTGGAGTCCAACAGTGTCTGGAGGGTGCCACATAGGCTTGGGAAACACAAAAAATGCTCTTGGTATGAATACACCCACCAAAGAAATCTTGGCCCAGGGAAACCCAGATTCTGCAATCAGAATATATTGTGCACATTTAAAATATGGCATAATTAGCATGATTCTGCCTGAACATTTAGGATTTATGGTAAAGTAAAGAATGTCAGAAGGCAATGAAACAAAGCAGATTTGGCTATTAAGATAGCCAACAGGGCAAAAGAGACCAAAGGAATGGTAGACATGGCTCGAGATCCAGAAAAGGAAATAAGATGCTGTCCCCTGAAAACCAGAAGTCATATATTTTCTGAGGATGAGAAGTAATGTATGCTCAAAGTAGCAAATTCTATGCTTGTGCCACAAGAAGCATGGAAGATGCACAACCTTTATTTCAGAGCCCTAGAGCTGTGACTCTTGTTTCTACCCTTTCATTCCGTATCCCCTTTGTCATACCATTATATGTGGTCTGTAACAGATCATCCCAGTGACATCCTTAGCAGAAATGTTTACCTGGAGTTTTTTTTTAATGTTTGGCAATTGTGATGGCAATTACTAATTCTTGAATTGCCTTTCACGTGAGTCTCAAGACATTTTACAAGCATACAATAAAACTACTAAACTTAATTTTTTTCAAAGCACCAAAAACAAATAAGATTCAAAAACAATATTTGAAAATATCCTTGTTGCCTCTTGGTTAGCTCAGAGATGGCATATTTGAAACTGCTGAGTAGAACAGTGTTAAATGTGGAATATATTCTTGTCTTCAACTCCACAGGCATGACTAGCTTCTTGATCTTTGCTAGAAGGTCGGATATTCGGCTGGTTTCGCTTGACATCCCGTATTTTGCTGACGTAGTTGTCTCAGTCAATGTCACCATGAAAAACGCTATTGCCATCGGAGTGGATCCTCAAGAAGGTCTGAAATGTGTCATTTAACCATTTTAAGCACTGATCCAGTGGGGGCTGGTTGGACTCAAAGTCTAACAACATGTGGAAGCCTTGGGTTCTCTATCCCAGATCTACAAATTGTTAAGATGTAGACTGAGAATTGGTCTTTAGTAAAAAGAGAGAGAGAGAAGGAGAAGGAAGTCGAAATATTAAAAAAAAAATCCCTTGTGCTTTTGGTAATAAACATACTAATAAATAACTTTTCATGTAATGCCAATACAGTTATAGCTTCTGCCCTTTTGAAGAGCATATCACAATGTGTTCATTTTTTAAGAGTTTTCATAATGCCTGTGAGTGGTATGTTTCATCAGTAAATACCTGCAGTAACAGGTAGCACTGCTGTTGTTGTTTTTTAACTGGGCTTAACGAAAGCACACCAAATGGCTTTCCCCATTACTTTCCTTATTTGCTAATGCTACTTCCTTAATGCCTATTTTTAGTATTTTCTATGTAGATGTTGCTGATGTTCTCCTATTTCTTCCACAGGAAAGGTCTATTGGTCGGACAGCACCCTGAGGAAGATCAGCAGGGCTGCCTTAGATGGATCTCAGTATGAAGATATTGTTACTACAGGTAATAGATGCTTTACTGGAATAGCCACTCCTCCAGGCTGCTTTCAGAGATGGATTTTGCCGAGTGATGTGAGCAGAGTCTTAATAGCATAGTCAGTTCTTTACTCATGGAGTACCTAGGAATATTTATGTTAAGAAATGCCTGGCGAATCTTGCGGATGTTTTTAAGGAGGGAAGATCCTAAATGTGATGGTTAGTAAGTAGCAAGAAACAATGACATTGCTACTGCTTTTTTACTAGGGTTGCAAACCACAGATGGACTAGCAGTGGATGCTATCGGTCGCAAAGTGTATTGGACTGACACAGGGACCAAAAGGATTGAAGTGGGCAACCTGGATGGGTCAATGAGGAGAGTTTTGGTATGGGAAAACCTGGACAGCCCAAGAGCCATTGCCCTGTATCACGAGATGGGGTGAGTGCTGGCTGTAGTACGTCTTGGTCAAGGGAAAGGCAGAGGATGGGAAGACATGGAAATAATTCCCATGCTGGCTTCTCAGTTGATTGCTTACTAGCTTTTACTCTTCCTTCAGTTTTATGTATTGGACGGACTGGGGAGAGAACGCCAAGCTGGAACAAGCTGGCATGGACGGCTCCAGGCGCACGGTGCTTATCAACAACAACCTGGGGTGGCCGAATGGACTGGCTGTGGATCGAGCAGGATCACAACTGCTCTGGGCTGATGCACATACTGAGGTTGGAACTGCTACAAGGCGTGCAGAATGTTTTCTTGGGGTGGAGTTCATAACTTTATATCTGAAGGAAGGGATGGCATGAGAGGGATTAAAGAGTCCTTGTGGACTAAGGGAATTCATAAGTGCAGGTTCATCGCTCAGCAGTAGCAGTGGCACGCGCATTAAGCCATAATTAATGTCTGACGTTCAGCTGTGGTAGAGCACAAATGAGCTGCTAAGCCATTCGCTGTAGTTCATCCTGCTCAGAAATTCCCTGCTCTGGTCCTTCCTTGATCCTCCTACCTGTGCTGTGCCAGGAGCAACAAACCATGACCTCTTGGCTTGTGTCAATCTGAACCCGGGATCATGGCTTGTTTGCCCCAAAGTGAAGAACAAAGCTAGGGAGAGCCAGTGTGGCGTAGTGGTTAAGAGCGGTAGTCACGTAATCTGGGGAACCGGGTTCGCGTCTCCGCTCCTCCACATGCAGCTGCTGGGTGACCTTGGGCCCAGTCACCACTCTTGAGTCCTCTCAGCCTCACTCACCTCACAGAGTGTTGTTGTGGGGGAGGAAGGGAAGGAGTAATATCAGATCGCTTTGAGACTCCTGAAGGGAGTGAAAGGCCCCGGGGATAGCAAATCCAAACTCCTCTTCTAAAAAAAAAAAGAAAAGAAAAAGAAAAAAGCTTAGGCTACCACTTGTGTCAAGTCAAGTCAAGTAACCTTTATTGGCATCACATAAGAACATTCAGAATACATTCAGAATAGATAGCCAGTGTGATCTCGTCGCCACCCCAGCGGCACAGTCACCCGCCAAAGGGCAAAAGAGGCGAGCAATCCGCCTCATCTCTGTGGGTTCCAGCAAGGGCAGGATCCTGTAGCATACTTCGGCGACAAAAATCAAATAGAGGAACTTAGCTACTGTCTTGGTGAGCTCCTAGTTCTCCCTGTAATAAGCCCATAACCTCCGTCTCTGGTTTCCATGTTGGAATATATAGATGGTCTAGAAATTGTTGGCGGAGATCATCATACATTTTACGTTTAAGGGCCATGTGAGCTAGAGTTTCTACCACTGGTGGTTTGCTTGGAGACCCTGAGTCTGGGTTCAGACAGCACAATGCACCAAGACTCGTGGCTTGCTTCTCCTGGTGCAGCCGGGAGCAGGAGCGAAAGAATGACTTCTGAGCATTGTGAGCAGTTTAACTGTGTTTTATTGTAACATGCAAATGAGGCCAGTTATTGCAACATCTCTTGGTGACTTCCATATCAGAAATCCCCATCAGGATTCAAGTGCCAAAGGCAAGGCTTTCATGTTGCCTGGTGTTAACCTCAAACACTGCGTTTTGATGGGTATTGCTCACGTGTTGTCACTTAATGAACTGCAGCTACAGTTGCCCAGTGAAGAGATAACCAAGTGTGCTTGTGAGATTTTTCTAATATGGTAGCTTGGAATCATAGCTATCTGGGGCCTTTGTTTTCAGCTTTCTGGGGATTTTCTCTGTCTCTCAAAAAGGGAATAAACATTCCATCTCTGTCCTTCAGCGCATTGAGGCTGCAGACCTGAATGGTGCAAACCGCCGCACCTTGCTTTCTCCAGTACAGCACCCTTACGGCCTCACTCTGCTGGATTCCTACATCTACTGGACAGATTGGCAAACACGTAGCATCCACAGGGCTGACAAGAACACGGGTGCCTAACGTCATCTTAGTCAGGGCAAACCTGCCTGGCTTAATGGACATCCAGGCTGTTGACAGGAAGCACCCTCTGGGTAAGTTCCCCCCCCCCCAGATTTCCATCAAGCGAAACATTGTTTGGAGAGTCCTCTTAGAAGCTGGCATCAAGGGAGTTCTTTACTTCTCCTCTGCACCCCCAAGCCACTCCCAGATACTGTTCACTGCAATGCTTTAATTCTTTGCATTTCTTCTTCAAAGACTTGCGATTTTTTCACGTCAGAATTCTTACTTGGCCTTTGTGCCTTTTTTGCAGATCTTGCTCCGTTCCCTAATCTAGCCTTGCCAGGCTATGTGAGCCAGTTGTTGTTGGACTACAGTGCCCATCAGCCTTGACCATTGACCATGCTGGCTGGAGCTGATGGGAATTTAGGTCCAGCAGCCTCTGGAGAGCACTGAGTTGGGAAGCCTTGCTTAATCCTAGCTACTCAAACTTTTTTTAAAAAACCAATCTACATTCAAACCACTCAAGCACTTTGAAGCCTTCCATTTTATTTGAATCAGCTGTCTTGTCATCCTCACACTTACAATCTTCTCAAGTGCCTGTTCTGTGCGTTTATTTAGTTGCCAGGAGTTCATCTTGCTATTTCCCCTGTAGGGCTAGGGTTTCCCCACAGTTTGAAACAGCATTATTGGTGCCATTGTGCTGGCAAATGATAGTGCAAAATCGAGACCCTCTTGTCACCTATCTTGTTGATCATTTTGGGGGTGCAGTCAGGAAGTGTTTTTTTCTTCAGAAACACTGGCAGGCTTTGCTTTCTGAAGCTCCATCTTTCTGTGGTCCCTCTAACTTTTTCTACGACCCTTTAAAAAATACCTGAGGTACACTGGGTAGTAGTAGCCTTAGTCAAGGCCTACAAATGTTTGTGCCTATTTTTGCTTGAGAATCTCCTGTTTACAAGGACTATGTAGGAGAGTACTGAATTAATATGGACCACAGGAAAGTCCAGTCTGAGAGACTTCCTTTGTTTTCCCATAGGTGCTAACAAGTGTGGAGTGAGGAATGGTGGGTGCTCCCATCTCTGCCTGCCAAATCCTGAAGGCTTCTCCTGTGCCTGCCCTACTGGTATCCAGTTGAAGAGTGACGAGAGGACCTGCGATCCTTCTCCTGAAACTTACCTGCTCTTCTCTAGTCGAGGCTCTATCCGCCGCATCTCACTGGACACTAGCGATCACACTGACGTTCACGTTCCTGTCCCAGAGCTGAACAATGTTATCTCTCTGGACTATGACAGTGTAGATGGCAAAATTTACTACACAGATGTCTTCTTAGATGTCATCAGGTAGGAACCCATTAGCTTCCTTTTGGTGCATTAATTCATTAATTACATGACACCTTTCGCTAGCTGGTCTTTGTGTTGCGAGATCTGCCTTACAATGTGGTATTTTAATAGGCAGAAATTATTATTTTCTTTGGTATCTACTGTTTTCTAGGCGAGCAGACCTTAATGGCAGCAATATGGAAACAGTTATTGGTCAAGGACTGAAGACCACGGATGGTCTAGCTGTGGACTGGGTGGCTAGAAACCTCTACTGGACTGACACGGGCCGCAACACTATTGAAGTTGCAAGACTAGATGGCAGCTGCAGGAAAGTGCTAATTAATAACAATCTGGATGAACCCCGAGCAATTGCTGTCTTTCCCAGGAAGGGGTAAGTTGGGGGACAACTAGAGGCAGAATGGGATGGAGGGAGGAGAGTAGTGCTTCAAAGGTTAAGCCCCTCCTTGGGCCTAGAGGAGCATCTGGTCCGTTCACCAAGTAGGCTCCTTTACCAGCAAAGCTTTATGAGCAAACACACTATCCAGCCAGTTGTTCAGCTGTAGCACTTCATCAAGTGGTTGCAGATTAGATTGTTGGAGCCCCTCCTGCCTGTGGTTATGTTCTTGCCTAGAGGTGAGCGTTGCTGGACCAAGAAGAGTTAGGACTACAATCTGACTCTTAGAACCAGATGATCTGTTGGTCTTGTTGAAGAGTTGCAGCTGGCCAGATGGCTGGAGGAAGATGTTTTTCAAAAGGCAGTCACCAGCCCTCCCCACCAGCAGATCTACTCCCTAGTGAGGGGTCTAGTAAGAAGAGACATTGCAAATAATAGCAGCAAAAAGTTTCAGATGAAACAGCTTCTCCCTTCATCTCCAAAAAAGAACTACTTGGTGCAGAAGCAGCCTGTGGTTTTTTTTGTGTGTGTTTGTGTGTCATCCTGTGTTTGGTTTTTCCCCAGATACCTCTTTTGGACAGATTGGGGACAAGTCGCTAAAATTGAGCGCGCAAACTTGGATGGTTCTGAGCGCAAGATATTGATCAACACTGACTTGGGCTGGCCCAATGGGTTGACCTTGGATTATGATACTAGGAGGTCAGTATAACATAGTCCCTTTCCACGTGCAAAAGTCATTTCTCTGCTTTTAAGGCAGCCTGGAGCTTCTGCATCACACCAGTAAAGAAGTGCAAGAAGGATGGGGAATCGTTTTCTTTGGGGTGGGAGGTTATGGTGGAGGTTGGTTTCACTTCTCATACTTTCTGTTCTTCTAGGATTTATTGGGTAGATGCTCATCTAGACCGCATAGAGGGTGCTGATCTCAACGGGAAGCTGCGTCAGGTCCTGGTCAGCCAAGTATCACATCCCTTTGCCTTGACACAGGTACAAAGGACCTTGGTGGGAACTCTGCAATGTCACTAGATAGATGAGCTCCCAAAGAAATCGTATATTTTTTTTAATTTCTGGGTGTTGGGAGAAGTTGGTGTTCTCATTCTTCCTCCTGCCATACACTGGAGAAAAGGTTTTGGTTGAATAAACTTCTGTTACCTTTCTACATGGTTTTTGTATCTTCCTAATCCTTTATCTCTTCATTTCTGAGCAGCAAGACAGGTGGCTCTATTGGACGGACTGGCAAACTAAATCTATCCAGCGAGTGGACAAATATTCTGGTCGGAATAAGGAGACTGTGTTAGCCAATGTTGAAGGACTTATGGACATCATTGTAGTTTCTCCTCAAAGGCAGACAGGTATATGCAACAATCTGGGTTTCCTCACTTTATATATAATGAGAGTCAACAGGGTGCATCTTCCAAAATATATTCTAAATGTTTCCTGCAAAAATTGCAACACAGAGAATCACTTGTTCAGTCTCCCCCCCCCCCCGCCGCCCACTTGACCACATCTTCAGATGTGCCTTCATGACTCTAGGGTGTCATGGGAAGAAGTGGTTGTGAGAGTATAACAACTCCGGCTAGTAAGGCTGGTACATGGATAATACGGCATCACGGACTTAGGACTGCTGTTGTGGAGTTACACAATTTCCCTTCAAACTTAGAGGTTGGGTGAAGATTTGTCATAATAAAAACAGGAATAAGGGGAAATAATTTTTTATTTTAGTCTGGGATATTAGCTACCCCTCTCCCATACTGTTTAAATAAAACATAGACTGGTATGCGGGGACGCGGGTGGCGCTATGGGTAAAAGCCTCAGCGCCTAGGGCTTGCCGATCGAAAGGTCGGCGGTTCGAATCCCCGCGGCGGGGTGCGCTCCCGTTGCTCGGTCCCAGCGCCTGCCAACCTAGCAGTTCGGAAAGCACCTCCGGGTGCAAGTAGATAAATAGGGACCGCTTACTAGCGGGAAGGTAAACGGCGTTTCCGTGTGTGGCTCTGGCTCGCCAGAGCAGCGATGTCACGCTGGCCACGTGACCCGGAAGTGTCTCCGGACAGCGCTGGCCCCTGGCCTCTTAAGTGAGATGGGCGCACAACCCTAGAGTCTGTCAAGACTGGCCCGTACGGGCAGGGGTACCTTTACCTTTACCTTTTAGACTGGTGTGCAAAACCTGCGTCATGCTAGATGGATATTGTACTCCAACCTCAGAAATCTGTGCCTCCTTTGCTGCTTGTGGGCTGAGGCCATCCATCATGTCTCTGAACACCTGTCAGGTTCTTTTAAGACATCTAGTAGAATGAAGACCATTGGTATTTAAAATAGGCATGGGGCAGAAACTTAGAAATCACTCTGGCAAAGCATCAGATTCTTTAAAACGTTGCTATTACCTACATATTAAAAAGCCAGTTCCAAAAGAAACCAAAGTCCCAGTAGGGCCTGGTTAGTTTAGTTCTCAATGGCTCCCATTCACTTCTAGGGGATATAGTAAATGCACTGCAGTCTAGGACACAGCTGAGAAGGAGCAGCCTGCTTTTCTGTCCAGGTAGTTAGATCAGTAGGGCAGGTTAGCCCCTGCTCAGTGGTAATACGTACACATTCCTTTGTTCATTCCCATATAAGTGAAGGTCTGATACTAACTTTCCTTACCCTGTGGTAGTGGTGGTCGGAGTCCATTACTCCTGACACCTGATATCCTGGCTTCTGTAGGGAGCTCATACACACACACACACACACACACACACACACACCTCTTTAACACTTTGCCTGTCAGTAATGACAAGCAATTTGGTTATATTTATTAAGAAATATTACAAGTCATCTTTCAGATGAATTCCTTCTTTTCTTTGAGAAAGCACAAACTTAATGGATTTTGTAATATAAAAGAAGAATGGGAAGGTATTGACTAAGGAGTGATATCAAGACAAGGAGGATACCTGCATTGTGGTCCATTTATTCTCCCTATTTGTCTAGTCCCACGATTACTTGCCAGGGTTGCTGCAACCCTGCACCAACAAACAATCCAACAGTGACCCAGCAAACAGGAATTTTGTGATCCTGTTCTTTTTTTTAAATGTTATTTTTGTATATCTTTTAGAGGTTTTTAAATATTACGTGGTTTAGAAGGGCTTTTCAATAAATAAAATAAGCTTGTGCATGAGAGGCTTTGGTAAGAACCATTATTCTCGACCACCAGCCACTGTGTCTTGCTGATAAGAATGCGAAGCCCCCACAGTTGAGGACAGAAAACGATGTTCTTCTGGTGGTAATGTCAAATACACTGTTTGCATCTTTTAGGCACCAACGCTTGTGGAGTCAGTAATGGAGGCTGCACCCACCTCTGTTTTGCCAGAGCTTCTGACTTCGTTTGTGCTTGCCCAGATGAACCAGATGGACGGCCTTGCTCAAATGGTAAGTTGCTTGAGCTGCAGACCTTCAGACAGGAATCGCGATGTTTTTGCTCCTGCCTCATGAGGACTTTTTCTGTGGAGTTTTTTCTGTGAAACCTAAATAAGCCACCTTCAGAAAATAGAACAGTCTAGGCGGCAGAATGCAGTCTTGTCAAAGCATTCAGATCAGTGCAAGAAATCATTATCCTGTCTCCTCTGGACTTGGGCTCCTTATGAATTTGAAAACTTCTCTTTGAAATTCCCTTCCGTTTTCCAGATGTCCCAGATGCATATTTTAGCATTCTGGATGGATCTCTGAAGAATACGGTTCAAAGCAGTTCGTTGTATTTCATTGGCACTTTGTGTGCAGTAACTTTAAAAATGTATGTGCATATAACATCGGGGATGGTTGGAGATTGGCAAAATAAGAGCACGCCAATATTTTCTGCTGCTCCCATACAGGCTGTAGCAGCCCAGTTAACCACCTGTAGCTACACTGCAGTTTTTGTTTTCTTAGGAGCAGGTCACTGTTAAAACCACAGACAGAACCTTAACTGCCTGCTGCTGCGTCTGGGGGAACAGATTGCAGTTTCTGCATTTCTGCAAGCTGTGTTTGGCTTAATTATCTCCCCTTCCTAAGCTTCTGTTTCCCTTTCTCTTTGCGTTCTGTGTAGTTCCTGGCATGGGGCCTTCGATTCCCGAGACCACTCGTGCAAGCAAAAAGAGCCAGACCCCCGCTGGTAGATCTGGCTCTTCGACAACCAAACCCCATATATCTTTGGAAACGACAGAAGCAAAGTGAGTGGCTTTAAAAGATGATTGTGACGAAAGGTGGTGCCGAGTTCCTCACTGGCTCTCCTGCCCCAGCAAGGAGGAAAGAGACTATGCAGGAATTTTTGCACTTCTTAATAGGATGGTGATATTGGGGTGGGGGGGCAGAGCTGTTCCATTCATGTGTACTGTTCAGCTACTGTATTCTTTCCCCCTCCTGCATGTCATATTAAATGTGATTCAAAAACACATTGGGCATCTGGACCACCCTTCCCCAAGCTGTTCTGTTGTCAAACCTCATGTCCAGCTGCCTCAGTTGGGTTCATTCTACTTGGCCAGAAGTTACGTTGCAGAGGTTTGGACTAGATGACCCTTGGGGGTCCCTTCCAACTCTTAATTCTGTGACCTTTCACTACTTTCCTTTCCCCCCTGTGTAGCTGCTCTGACAAAAAGGTTGGCCAAGGCTTGTGCAGCCGAGCAAGCGAAGCTGTGCCGGCAACCACTGGTGAGTTTTGACATTATCCCGCATTGCCCCAGGCTGCACCAGATCTTTCTATGTATCATGTTGGAGGCCCAGACACAAGACCGATAAGCAATAGCATTACCAAGCCCTCAGTGTGGGTTAAATGCATGCAGATTTATTTTGGCTCATAGCAAAGTAGTCATGCGTTTGCCCAGCTACACACCCACTGTAGCCTTCTGGAATGATGGAACGACTCAGCAAATTTTGACTTCTAGTAAGGAGATGTTGGTGTACAAGGGAGGGAGGGAGGGAATCAAACCACTTTTATTGTGAGTCCAAATACTGCATGATATAATTTGGTCTTTGCTTATCAGCCCTCCCCCCCAAAATGCTAATTAGTTACTTCCTGATAAAAGGTCTTGGAAAAGTTTCTAGGGAAGCGTAATGAAATTAAAGAAGAAAAAGAGTTATTGGGAATAGGTGTAGATGGTTTAGCTAAAGCAGATCGGAATTATAAGCAACTCAGATGAATTTTAGGCTGCTTGTTTTGTTACCCAAAGGTGTATACAACATTTACACAAGTACAAAATCATTTCGTTCTTTTGGCTGACCAAACACATGCATCAAGAGTTAAAGAGATGGGCTAAAGGAAAACACTCTTGGAATGGAAGAATTGCCACGATAAAAATTAAAAGGCTGTCAATATTGTTGTTGCCTTTTCTGACTTTCTTGTAATTCTGTACAAAAACTAGGGCCCCATCAGCACTGTCAACATCCACACATATTTACACACAGGAACACAGAATGTCATCCTCGATCTAACCTGTTGCCCTCTTTCAGGAGGACTGCACGTCAGTTACATAATCGGAGGCCTTCTCAGTATATTGATCATTCTGCTGCTAATTGGTGCTGTGATTATATACAGGTAATTTCCTTGCCCTAGTCCCTCTGTGCTTCTGAATTCATCTTTTGGTTGGAATACTTCTGACAAAGCCCAGGCCTTCCTTGCTGTAGTGAAAAATGCCTCATTGGAACCAATGCCAGAGGACATAGGCATGTTGGTCTGCAACAGGTGTGGTGGTGGCATTCCTGGAGACGTAACTGGAATAAAAAGCAAAGTTGTAACCATAAACAAGAGAGGCTGAAATGCTAATGCTCCTAACTTGCAGTTCTTGCATAATGTTGCGGGCAGCTCCTCCTCCTCTCCCATTTGCCTCTGAAAAAATGGGTTTCAGGGAGCAGTGAAGAGTAGTTTGCAAATACTCGATTCAATTTTTGCCCCGTAGAAAGTTTTTCTTCCTGGGAAATTGTTCAAAGGAATCCTGTGGAAATTTGCACATGCCTTGGTTTGGTTCTTACATATTGACTCTTTGAACTCTGAACATTTTGCATGAATGTGATCTCTCTTGCTTATCAGTGGATTTGCCCCTAATTTTCCCACTGGCATACAAGCAAATAAATTTTTGCTGCCTCCCATGAGTGCAGGTGTGATTTGCTATCTGGGATGTTTGCTATCTGATATAAAAGACTTACTTATGGTTTGAGAAAGGAGAAAATACAAGACCATAGTTCTTTTTCTGATAGAGTAGTAGTGCAGAGTAGGGCTTTAGCAGTTGAGGCTCTTTGTTGACAGTTGTATTCCTGCAGGCACAAGAAGTCCAAGTTCACAGATCCTAGCCTGGGCAACCTTACCTACAGTAACCCCTCTTACCGGACATCTACCCAAGAGGTAAAGATTGAAACAGTTCCCAAGCCAGCCATGTATAACCAGCTATGCTATAAGGAGGTAAGAGATGCTTTTAGAATGAGTCATCTGTGTCAAGCCACTGTGGTTTTAAACATCAAATTGCAATAAGCCTAACTAACTTGTCTTATTCTCATCAGTCCTAGCTACCCTAAAGAACCCTGTCCTTCGCCTCTCACATTATTAGAAAGCCACTGACATGACTCTCATAAGTTAACCAGCGATACTATTTATTTGATGCTTTTGTCTTGGGGCACCTGTTGCCCAAAGGAAATGAAGAGTTCACTTATTCAGAGTTTTAATTCCTCTATTCAGCCAAAAAAAAAAAGGAGTCCAGAGTGGCTTGCAAATCACTGCAACAAGACAGTCCCTGCCTCCAGGCTTAAAAAGATATGGCACAAAGGAAAAATGGATTGGGAGAGAGGAGGAAGTGAGACAAATTCTTAGTCACAGTTTCTGTTAATGGCCATTGGGAGTGGAAAAGTTAATGGAGAAGAGGTGCCAGAAGTTGCTGTCCTCCCAGCTGTTGGAGTGGCCCTGCATCCCTTCCCTTCCATCCTCTGCTGCAGCCTGATGGCAGGTGACAGTTGATGGAGGGAAGAGTCAGACTTCTCAGCAGAGCTCGGGGTGCTGCTGCTGCTGCGCCTCTTCTCTTCCCCTTCTCTGGTTCAGGCTGATGTAAGATGACACACTCCCAGTTCCCACCCCAGTGCCTGGTGGGATCCCTGTAGTTCAGTAGTCCTGAATGGCTGTACGCAGCTAGACAGGTGTGCCTGTGCACTGCATGGATCGCCAGTGGGAGGGAGAGCAGACTAATGGAAAATTGTTGCACATGATGGGCTGTGATGTCTCAAAGCACTTAGTCTCTCTGTCTTTCCTCCTCAGCATCTTTCTCACCCCCCTGATAGCCTTTCACCATTCCTCTTTTGACCTGCCCACAGCCTCATATCAGGTATCACAGCTCTGCATTTGTGCAGCCTCTGCCTGCCTTATTCCTGTAGTGCTGATGAGTGGCCTAATGCTGTCTTATATTACTTGCTTCTTGGCTGGCTTTCTCTCCCTCTCTTTTTTGTGTGTGTGAGTGTGCGTGCGTGTGCACACGCACCCCTGAAATACGTGTGTGTTTGTGTGCTGGGAAAGAAAAGTGTTTTTGCCTTGGTTAAGTAATTTGAAACTGCTTAAAACTTTACAAAATATTTGTACCCCACCATCATACATGTGCAGGGTATGATCAGTAAAGAGGTTTTCCCCCTCCTGGAATTGGTGAAGCACAGTTATTGCTAATTTTCCTTGCCTCCATGTTTCCTTGCCTCTAATTTTCCTCTCCTCCATGTCGAATCTGTGTGCACCTTGCTGTTTTTATGAGAGTGTTCTTTAAATCTTTACTATTTTAACATAATTACTGGTTGGACTGATCTGTGCAGCGCTTCTTAACTTCAGTGTTTATACCCATCAGACACATTTTGCGTAGAATTAACCAGGGTTGGCTTCTGTGTCCCACTCAAATATAGACAACATTTTTCAACTGTTTCCAGTACATTTCCTGTACTTTGGAACAAAGCTCAGGATACAGAAGGGTGACTTATGAAGCATCTAGTGCACCCCACCAGATGCTGTTGGTCTCAGATTCCTATCATCCCTAGTCAGCATGGTCAGCACCATGGTTGGCTACCCCTGGTGTAGTGGGAGACATCCTTCTAAGAGTCAGTGCCTGCATTCTCATAATCTAATCTGCAGCGGCTATTCTGGAGCTGAATCTTAAGTCTCCTAGTTTAATGCTTGATTTCGCCAGTGCTCCTTTTCACTACTCATGATTTGGGAGATATTACTTGTCCTCCCAATTTCTTCACTGCCTGTAACATCTTTTCATGAGTTGATGGGATGCGCAGTTTGTAATGGAATTGCCAGTAACAGCCGGTCTGCTAGGAAACGCAGCGCGTGATGCATCTAGATAGTATTTCATGCACGCAGACATTTGAGTCTAGCAAACCTGTGAAAGCTAGCTCTCTTTTCTGGTGTCCCATCCCATGACCCTGGGATTTTTGCTCCCTTTCTTAAGATAGGTCAGGGACCTCCACAATGAAAGAAAATGCCTGTATGGTATGCAGATAGGTGTCAACAACTTTTTTGTCTGCAGTGGGTGGTTTTTGCTAGCTTTTGAGATCTACTTTAGCACCATATTTGGGGGGTCAGAAACTGTTTTTTCTTTCCTCTGTTCAGTTTGGCTAGTGACCTTCTTTCCTTCCCTCCCCTGCTGTGCCCAATATTACCATAGTGTGTGGTTACACCTGGTTAGTTGGAGCACCTGGAGTCATTTTCTCTGTAAGCACTTCCTGCTTCGTGGCTGTGTGGGCTTGGTCTAACAAGCAGAAAGTTGCAGTGGTCATCTCTTTAGTCCCTCCCAAGTGTACAATGTGACTTTGTTCACATAGTAGGGAACAGCCTCTTGTGGGTTTCCTGCACTTCAGTGTCCTGGCACCTACTTTTTCCTTTTCAGCTCGCATGTCTCATGTTATTGTCTCTATCCACAGGCCGGCCCTGATCACAGTTACAGCAAGGAAAAGATCAAGATTGTGGAAGGGATATGCCTCTTGTCCAGCGATGAATCGGAGTGGGACGACCTGAAACAGATACGGAGCTCTCGGGGGTGTATCCTCCGTGACCACGTCTGCATGAAGACTGACACGGTCTCTATCCAAGCCAGCTCTGGCTCGCTGGATGACACCGAAACTGAGCAGCTGCTGCAGGAGGAGCAGTCAGAATGCAGCAGCATCAACGCGGCAGCAACCCCTGAGCGCCGCGGCTCCCTTCCAGACACAGGCTGGAAGCACCAACGCAAACCCTCAACAGAGAGTGATGTCTAAAGCACACAATGAGACGCTTGTCCCTCCTCTGTCACCTTTCGCACTGATGAGATAGGATCTTGCCCGCAATTCCAGGAGGAACTCAAAAGAGACTTGCCTCTGTGTCACACAGAGCCCAGAGACTTTTTTTCTGAGAGGAGCCTGAGCTTAAACTGCCTTTGTGGCAGGTGGGAGACAACCTAGAGACTCTTGGCTCACTGTTCATTAATGTTTATTTATATGTCCCCTTTTGCTAGAAGCTGTGGTGTTGAATTCAGCAGCAGTTTTCCCAGCTGTGTCCGATGCAGCTTTCATTCGGTCTAGTGCACCAGCTAGCCATGGACTCCAAGGCCACCAGGGAGGGATGAGTGTTTCTGAAGTTCCCTGCTCCTGATACAACTACCTTTCTTCAGAGTCTGTTGGCACTAACTAGATTTTGCACTGCGCTCTTTCTATCTTAAATGAAAGGGTTTGGGGCCAGGTAGAAGTGCCTGAAGTGAGAAAGGTGATGTAACAGCGGGTCACTTTTGCAGATACTTGTGTGGGGAGAGCAAACGACAGTTGTAACTTCACTGGAAAGGGGCACTAAATTTCCATGACCATTATTTTTAAGCTGTGGGGAAACGCCTGCGAAATCCAACCTAGGGTGTCAGGAGTTCAGAGGGTAAAGCATTTGAGTCTGTTGCTGGCAACAGAGGTTGCTCCTGCCACAGTTTGGTGTGGCAGAATGCCCACTCCCTTCCTAAAACATACTTCTGGTTTTTTCAGATTGAACTTAACACATCTGTTCCCTGGAGGGACGACTCACTGTTTTTATTGCACTTCCCATTAGCTTTGACTTCCGAGGAAAGCGCCGGGTGCAATGGTATTTTATCATAACCTTCCTTAGTTAGTCAAGTCACAGGCCCATCCTGTGGAAATGTGTGCTACTGAAAACAACGTTAGCCTGTGGAACACAAGTGGGCAATATGTTTTATTTGTTTGTCTGTTTTGGAAATGGAATATAAGTGGTCAGCGGGTGTACCTGAAACGTCAGGTGCAAGTTCCAGCTCCAACATGCTGCTGGACAAACCCAGTAGGGGACATTTTCTAAGCCTTTTCTTGCCAGCGGATGGGTCTGCTTGCACCTTCTTCTAGGATCTGCTGTGTGGGTTGAGTAGTGTGGTGTCAAAAAGTGGGTGTGTGCAATTTGAGAGATGATGAATGTGTGTGGCTAGGCAAAGGCAGGCAGGCGGGGAGTCAGGCAGGGCACCAGAACTGTTTGACTGTGTAAAGCGCCTTTCCTCCTCAATGCAACTAGGTTAAGATTTCCATTCTATGAAGGGAGAACCAAGACTAAGAAACGGTCTTTTCAAAATGTTTTGCAGGTGGTGGTTTGTGCAAACAAATACTTCCTCCGCCAGCTCCAGACATGATTTGGCAAGATAGCACTTACATTGAGGGAAGTCCTATTCAGAGCTGATAACCACATTATTTATTCTCTGGGAATATGCACCACTATCCCCTCACCTTGCTCCTGCAAGTGCCTCTCTTGTGATTAGCGCATGATGTATAGACTCTGCTTGTGTGAGTGTGACACTCTGACGAGCAGCACAGGTTCCCTGTGGCTAAACAGTTGCGTGATCTGATTGCTTCCTCTCATCTAGTCCAAGCAGGGAGGGCGCAAGCATTAAAAAAACCAGCAATCCAACTCTAGCAACCTGCCCCCTTGCAGCTTTCCCTCTATAACAGGTCTATATTTCCATCAACAAGGCAACCCTCCCCCTTATGTGTCTTGTTGAGTTAAATATTTTATTGCACACCTAAAACCGTGATACATGAATATGACAATTGTGTATTTTTAATCGCATTCATTGAAGGAGTCCATGCACAAGAAAGCTAGGGTGGGTGATGCGTTTGTACAGTGGCAATTGTGCTGGTTGCTGCGTAGTGTGTGAAGCAGTTATAAGTAGTGCATCTTTGTCACAGACACCTTTTCTTTCTAGATGGTCCACAGCAGACATGTCGTGCTTCTGCCTGTTCCCTCTACCATCTCCATCCCTGCTCACCTCTGCTATTTCCATCATGTTTCTTTACATTTGCTGATGATCCTCTGTTGCCTTCGCCCACACATATTGGGCATGTTTGCACACACTCAGTATTGTAAAAATAAAACAGTGGAATTTTGGGTTGCAGCAGGAACGGTGCAAGCCAATGATGGTGCAAGACCAGCATTCCTGACAATTAACCCCAACTTTTCCCAACTTGTAGCCGGGAAAACCTCTTGCTTTCTCATCTTGAGGAAGGTATAAATTGGAATTATTTTGGGAGCCGAGTTTTGTATTTCAAGGAAACATGCATAAAGCTCTACTTCTGCAGCATCACACAGCAAAATCAACCTGTGCTTAAAAGTTTCAGTACTGTGAGCAAGTCTTTCTAGGACATGTTTATATTCTTCCATCAAAGACACTCTCATTCTGACTGTCCAACCTCAGAACTGTTTTCCTGTTTTACCTGCTATTACTCTCTCTTCCTTTATTTGCATGTCATTTATTGTGCTTTGCTCTCCTAGCTATCCATGTGAACTAAGAGTTGCATTCACTGCTGTCTCTGCATCAGCAGAAAAGACTTTTCTCTGTGCAATAAGACTTTACTTTCCACTCTTCGCCCTTGCATCTACTCAAAACCTGTTCCAGAGTTTGGGGGGATGTGGGGAATGTGGGAGATTAGAGAAGAATGTGAAGTTCTGTTATGCGAGCAGAAGTCCATTTGTGCAGTGTTGAATTCCACCCTAAGTCTCTCATACTTCATAGAGATCCATGTATTGAACCACACCAGCTCTTGTGCCTGCATTCATAAATCCATAAGTGACTGCCACCCCCACCATGGTGTTTTACCATTTTCTCTGCATTCTCTTCCTTCAGCCATTATTTTCCATTGGCATCTGATTCTGACCCATCCGAAAAGATAGAACTTGAGGATCGAAAATGTAAAAACGGCAGCTTAAAGTCCAAATTAAACCAATTAGCTGTATTTATGTTATTAAAATCACTCATCTACAGGAGCCATCCACACTAGGCTCACTTTATTTTGGGGGAGTCTGGTGAGGGGAGACAAAACAAACAAACAAACCCTGTAAAAGACAATGTGGAAGGCACTTGCAGGAAGGCAAACAGTTATGCACCCTGCCTAGTCCACTGGTGATCTCTTGAAAAGGCAGTAGCATGACAAGGGACTTGGGCTTGAGGAGATCTCTCATTTACATCAATTATATCAGTTTCATGGGCCGTGAAATGGTAATGTGAACAAGGGCAAAGTCAAGTATAGCCCTTTTGAAAAAGACAGCACTGGAGATCACATTGTGCTAGTTGTATCCTGGTGCCTTTTGTAGGAGGCTGGACTAGGATCACTCTGGGATCCCTTGCTGTTGTGCATCCCTATGAAATGTTGGTTAGAACTGAGGCTTGGAGCAATGTTGTTATTAGGCTTTCCCCCTACTTTCAGGGGAATATATTAGATTTTAATTTAAATATATTTATTTGGGTTGGCTCCAATGAAGCTTCGTCAGGCTGAAGGGATCTGTGGGGGTAGGGTAGCCCTGCTGCTGAAACCATGGACAAAATTAAGGCCATGTGCATTTGAAAAAAGAGTTTAGGAAAGATGAAACCAGACACTTGGCACTGATGAGGGCCACCAGGCCAGGGTGAAGTGTTGAATATAGGCAGTTGCAATTAGAAGAAAAAATATTAAAAATGGAGGCTGGGAAATAATTGAAAAATACTTGTCCTCTTACAAGTTCAGTAAATCAACAGAGAGAGTGCCACTGCCACTAATGTCTCCCCTTGTCTCTCTGCAACTTTTTATTGCACATTCCAGTCTACATAATGACCTCCTTTCTCAAACCCCTTCCCTTGACCCATCTGACCCCTAGCAGCCCTCATAATGGCTGCAGAAGATTGGAAGAATGGTACCTACAGCTTTACTCCTACTTGTGAAGTAAGCAGCGATGAGATGCGCAAGCAGCCTTTGGCCAGTGCTGTTGGTAATATGGGACTCTTCACTGCCAATGCTGATGAAGCAAAGTCTCATTGCACTTGGACTTTGCAGAATGTGGAAAGCCAGAAGTGGGGACAATCTCGCGAGCACTGATTAACTATGTAAAAAGAACATCCTGCCTCTGTCTGTCTTGAGTTGTTGGCAGCAATTTCCCTACCTTTCTGTGTAATGGTTTTAAATGTTACTCACTGGAGAGATTGGATTTCCCCTTTCCCCCCAAGTTATTTAACTACTATGCTCAGTATTTTAGGTTTGATGATAATTTAATATAAATTTAGCTTTTCTTAATCGCTCTGCTGGACTTGTGAGTTGTGAATCACGAATGCTACCCAAACAGGCCACATGAAGGCTCATCTCGTTTGAAGAAGCGACAGAGTTGGGACCAGAGCAAACAGATCCCATCACACTCTCACCTTTGAAGCAACAACTGGTTTAGGATTTGGGTGAAAGCAGGGGAATGGGAATTAACTGTTACGAATATTACATATGGCAGGTTATGGCACTGCCAAGGACTAACACCAGAAATGTCTGAAGCTCAAATTAGTAGGGCTGCTGCTTGCTTCCCTCTGGTATTAACTTGGCATTTCATAGAGCCTATTACGACCCCATGAAGCTTAGAGGGTTTTTGCATTTCTCATGCTGGCAATTTAAATGTTTACAAATGAATCGCTTAGAATGTACACACTTCTGCTTCTTGTCCCTTACATTTCTGTGCTTCTCTTTTAGTTCAGTGTGTGTCCCTGTTTCTCAATATACTGATTGATCCCAGAATCATGAGTCATAAATCAAACCAAATTGAAAGTTTACAGTGCTTTACTACATTTCTAGATGAGCAGATTACAATAATTCAAAACGTGAAATGATTCTTACAAATAAAATGAGAACTTACAGAATAATGGCTAATTACCTTGTTAGCTTCCTTAACAAATCTAAACACTAGTCTAATTTAAAAATAATTACTAACCAAAGTTTGTAGCTAGTTAGAAAATTGATTTCTATTAACCTGGCCAAGATTGTTCCTAGTTACACACTCCACAGCTGGTATTGATGTAGAGAAGTCATTTTTAGTCCAGAAGCAATTATTTGACCATTTTGGAGTCCATTCTATTAATGGACAAAACTAAGACTTACAGCTTCAGACTTTAAACATCGAGTACCTAACTGCCCCAGACTAATTTTGTGGATTTGATGACACCTGCAGCTGCATCCATAACTTGATGGCTTTTTCCCATCTGCTGGTGGTCAGCTTTGACCTTGGCAATGGTGCCTTTGGCATGACTTTTCTGTCCTGCCTTGCACCCAGTTTCTCAAGTGTAGATGTAAAATAATGTTCCCCCAAAGTTCAATATATCAGTAAATCAGCCGTGTACCTTCTGTGCAGTGACAACCAAAGAGGCTTTGTGTTCAAATGAGAGCAGTTTCATCTTCTGAAGGCCAGCTTAAAAATCATATTTCTAGCACTTGACATCTAACCTACATTCATCCTTAGATCTATATATTTCCTCACAGCAAGGTAGCATAGATAATGGCAGCATATATATTTCAAAAATAGCAAAAATATGTGCCCCAAGCAGCATAAAATATGGTGATGCATCGTGTAAGACCCTTGGGATAAATAGCAAACATGATATAACAAGACACATCACATACAGACACTGGCACACACAAAAAAAACCCTATAAGCATGGTTATATACAGCTGATCCCCTTATTGGCCCTGTAAGAAGTATATGATCAGTATTCACAAAGGGCAAGTTGCAGTGTAAAAATTCTCAGTATCATTTATAAAAATGTCTTCATTTTGCATTGGTAGCCTTATGGTCAGATGTGGAAGACATTTTTATTAACATTATTTAGCCTGCATTTCCATCTACACACAAGAACCTCAAGACTTAAGCTTTTGTGTAGCTGCAAAAAGTATCATTGGACTTTATTGGACTTTTCATTATTGTAGTTAATAAGTTTACTTACTGGGTATCAGATGAGAGGAATGTACTTCTCATGCCTGAGTATTCTTAATTTACTCTATAACATACAGCCATCTTAAAACGTTATAATCACTAAAAAAAGAAAGAAAAAAGATTTGGTTTACTCTCCTTAGCCTGCATATAAATCTTGAAATATCAACTCTCTACCCTTTGCAAGACTATTAAAATAGAAACAACAGTGGACTTCTCCCGTGCTGCTTAAAGGTAAAGGTAAAGGTACCCCTGCCCGTACGGGCCAGTCTTGACAGACTCTAGGGTTGTGCGCTCATCTCACTCTAGAGGCCGGGAGCCAGCGCTGTCCGGAGACACTTCCGGGTCACGTGGCCAGCGTGACAAAGCTGCATCTGGCGAGCCAGCACAGCACACGGAAACGCCGTTTACCTTCCCGCTGGTAAGCGGTCCCTATTTATCTACTTGCACCCGGAGGTGCTTTCGAACTGCTAGGTTGGCAGGCGCTGGGACCGAGCAACGGGAGCGCACCCCGCCACGGGGATTCGAACCGCCGACCTTTCGATTGGCAAGCCCTAGGTGCTGAGGCTTTTACCCACAGCGCCACCCGCGTCCCATTCCCGTGCTGCTTAGGGATCTGCATATCATTATCCAATGAGTTACAGATATTAGAAATAACTTCTTTTCTCCTAGAAGAGAAAGGGAAAGAATGCAAATATCCTCATACTTTCTTGGTTGGTCCCATTCCCTAGTAGAGTGGATAAGAATATTTCTTATACATACATATTGAAATAACTTTGGTTACTTCCATGTCCATGAATATGGACTATATGAGCAAAGATTCTGAATTATGCTGCTAGGTCATATAAACATTCTATTTAATTACAAACCAATATGTTTTAGTTGTTATAAAAACCAGATAGAATCCATGTTTGTTTAGGAAATACATTAATTTCAAAAAGGAAGCTTGATTAAATCTCTCCACCCTTTTCCTTAACCACTGGGAATGTGCTACTCCAAACACAAAGTCGAACTATCAGCATATAATTCCATGTAAGAACACTGGCGATTCACTTATGGTAAACCTTTTACATCGCTGGTTCGTGAATGTGAAATGAGGAAACAGAATGCTTCTTTCCAAACAGCAGGATTCAGCTGTGGGACTGGCAACGGTCCACTCCAGTTTGTCTAAAAGGGCTCATTGTTCTTGTATCTTGTTATATCATCCACATCCTGGCTGGAAAAAGCAGCTCTATTCATCCAGCTTTAGAAATTCTGCCATAGTTGACAGGGCTGTGCCTACCACCTACCAAGACAGTAATGGCAATTGCCAAACCACTTTACTTGGAGTAAACAGATTTGAATATTGGTACCAAGGAATCTTGAAGATGGTACTGTTCTTTCATCTTCATATATCACCTTACTGTAAGGTGGAGTTGAAAGTTAATGTAGTCAAATGGTGTTGAGTCTGTAAAGCATTTTATAGAATTGGAAACACAACAATTCACATCTGTACCAGCACTGCCTTACACTTAAAAATGTTCAGTACTAAAACAGGTGAGGCACCCGTAACTACCGGATACAATTTCACTACAAGGCCAGAAGTAGGAGTAAAGATTGCCTGATGAGGTACGTGTTAATTTAGAAGTCCTATTGTTTTCAACAGAATAACTGTATAGGACTGCAGTCTTAATGTGACACAATTGTAACATCTACGCAACATACATTGGGGAACTGCTGATGTATCACACTCTGAATTGCTTCATTAACTTTGGTATATACCAGTCTGCTATGGATTAAAAATTCAAGGCAGGATCCACAAAGGGATATAATACCTTTGTATCATTGCATACAATTATCTAATACCCTTCTAGAAGCTAAGGGAGACTCCGTACAGCCTAGATTCCTTCAAATTAGTCCAAAAGAAATTGAATGCTAGAAGGCTCATAGACAGAAGTGTGTTTGTTGGCTTGTCAATCAATCTTCTCTGTTCTGGAAGTCATACCCCTTGTTAACTTACCGATAAATACAAATAGGCTGGAATCTTTCCAGCAAGGTGCCTCAACCCACCAGTCATGCCATAAACAACAGCCGATTCCGGTAAAAATGGCAACTCGTCATATAAAAAGTTTTTGTATCACCCATTTGTATCACCCAATTAAATCTGAATGTAAACATTCATGGGATAGAGGATATCCTTTTTAGAAACTCTTTTTGGAGTTGCTAATCTTAATTGCCTGCCCTAGGCTGATGATGGGCAACTTAATTGATTACTACCTAGGGATTCAGAAAACAGCTAAGTTTTACTTAATGGACCTAACTTGGTCATGTTGATTAATTTCTACACGGAGTAAAACCTAGTGAAGACCTCCCCCTAAGATTAAGAGGCAACGATAAATGTGTTAAAGCAGAGTGGGTGGATGCCGATAGGAGGTGGCTTACTACTTAATGGCATCCACTGAGTTCTATGGGATAAAGTTCAAGAAGACAAAACTTGCATTTCAACAGTGGGATACACAGGGCATCCTTTATTTATCTCTGTCCCACAATGTCTCCTTTATTTTCTCTCATATAAGGGAATGGTGTCCCATCATTAATCACTCGCTGGAATTCAGCATTTTATCACTTTATTATATAAAGAAGCAACAGGAATACACAAGTGGGTGGGAGAAGGAAGCAGGACAGCGCTTTTCTTGGGCCCTCCTGAAAAAGGCCAGGAGACAGGAGAGGAAGAGGCATGTTGCCTCCACTCCAGAGGCCTCAGAATAGTTTTTGGCTTGGAAGTGGTGGGAATTAGCAAGCTTTCAATTTTTTTCAACACTGATCAGACCATAAAGAACGACACCTTCATTAGGGCAAAAAGAAGTGTGCAAACTTTTGAGATCCTCAAGACCCTTCAGCAGGCTGGATAATCTGCAAAAAGAAATGGGGGAGAGGAGAGAAACAGATAACACTGGGTATATACACACACCACTATGCATGCATGAGTAAGGCAAAGGATAAGTCATGTAGAGTTTAAAGGTAAATGTGTATATGACTGCCGCCTTAGGTTAGGCTGTATTTGGTGCAAAAATGACTAGGTTGCACCAAAGACAACAGTGAGAGTGAAACATACAAACCGAAAAACTGCTAGTTCTTACTATTCTCTGCACCGGTAGCCTTTACTTCAACCTGAAAGCTTTTTGCACAAAGCAAAACTAGCCTAATTAGAACCCAATCCTATGCACATATTCTCTGAAGCAAGTGCTATTATGTTTAAGCAAGCTAGGATTGCTGTTTTAGTCTATGTAACATTTTAATGCTGTTTTTAAAATATTTTATTTAACTTAATTATTACAAAATATAAGCAAAATATTGCAAATACATACATACATATATTTCTGATAAACACACATATATAAAAAAGAACAAAAAGGAAGAAAAGAAAAAAATAAGGAGAAAAAGAAGAAAAGTTGGAAGAATTTCTAACAAATTTATTCTACAAATAGCTCAATAATAAAATTTCATTGATTGACTTCCATCGCTTACACTGCACTTCCTATATACATTTTAAGCAAGATTGTATCTGTTATTCCGTATTTTTCCCATACAATCTCACACAAATATTCTAATCCATAAATTTTCTAAATCTTTCATAAATCTATTCTAAACACAACCAATACCTCACACTTAATCTTTGTCTATTTTAACTTGGCGGACTTTTTCATCACGTTCTCTCCTCGCCCCTTCATTTGCCTAATCCAATCAGATAAAAGTCTCTTGAAGCTTACATCAACTGGAAAGCTTGCTCGCTGCTCTGCACTCTTTTACTGGCCCTCATACATTATTACTCTTGTTATTTTTGGATCTCCCCCAATGAAACAACGTGGCTGCCTACAGTTGTGGGGGGCTTTTTTAAAAGGTCTTTGGTATTGTAGCAGGAACCCCCCCACCCCAATCATTCTGTTTGTACAA